CCGCCGGTCGGCGTCGACGGCGTCGCGCGGCCCGACGGCTTCATGGTCGGGGCGCTGCACGAGACGGTCCGGCGGCTTCTGGTGACGCGGAGGGGCGTGCGGACCCCGTACCGCAACCCGCACCGCAAGTTCCTACTCCGCGCCGCCGACCTGCCGCCGCCCGGGAAGCTGCGACCCCTGGCGCCGGACATGCAGTGGGACGCGGTGCGGAGCGGGGACGTGCCCCTGATCATCTCCAGGACCGACATCCCCAAGACTAAGTATGGTGGACACCCGAGGGTTTTCTTGCTGGCTTTCGCCATTTCCCCCCTATATCTATCTGGTCATGTGGCTCATACGGTAGTTTGCGTTGCAATACACAGATCTACCTTGATGACCCTGCCTAGTCTTGGAATAAGACTTTCGGACGGAAGGCTTGTTGCATGGTCGTTTCTAGGTATCGTCCCGGAGGCGCCTAACCACCATTGCATGCGACATCATACTTCAGTCATCATACTGACCGATCGCTATACAAAGGTGTCGACGGCACGCTTTCGACCCTCCACTGCGAGGTGAGTTGACAGGCTGGCCGTGTCACTGTTTGATATCAATGCTTTCCATTTACCAAGCTGCTTACCTGTTCACTTGGAAAGGAACCGTTTCGAGGCCGCGGCTTGGCCAAGGCCATGGCGACGAAGCTTATCAGCGACCACAACGAGGCATCCGGAAACGACGGGTTTTGCGCAGCAGACGTGCACATCAGCAACGCTAAAAGCCAGGCTGTTTGTAGAAGCATCGGGGGACGGAAGGCCTGGAGGGTATCATGGTATGGAACAAATCGCCCTTTGACACAAATCAATATCAACCGAATTTGTATTTTGTTGGGAAGCTGACACGAGCTATGTAATGTGATATTTATACAGGTCAATCATCGCCAATGACAGCCTTTAGAAGAGTCTCACGGCCCGGCTTTGCTTGGAAGCCATAATCTTTTTCGATTCCTGAATCAAACAGACCCGTCCCGTTAGTTCTGGGTTTGGCGGTGAATTTCCTGGAGGTAGAACTTGAGGTCGTCCGGGCTCACGAGCGGGGTGATGCCTAATTGTTTAACATGTATAAGCAGAGAGCCTTCACAAGCATGCAATCAAATCTCGGAAGATACTTACCATGGCCCAGGTTCACGATCCAGCCCTTCTTCTTCGCGGCCCACCCAAAGCCCTCGACCATTTCCTCGACGGCCGCGGTGATGGCCTCTTTGGTTCCGTAGAGCACTCCTGGGTCGGCATTGCCTTGGAGCACGATGGACCGGTCGCCGCGCGCCTTGTCAGCCGCCGAGGGCCGGAAGGTCCAGTCCAGGCCGACGACGTTGTAGCCCATGTCGCAGGCCGATTCGAGGGCGTACCAGGCGCCCTTGGGGAAGACAATCATCGGGACTGGGTCGAGCCCGAGCTCCTTGAGCCGCCTGGGCAGGTTCGCCGATATGTAGGACAGGTACGGCGCCGAGAACTTCTCAAACGACGCGGGCGAGAGCTCGCCTGCCCAGGAGTCGAAGACTTGCACGAGCTGAGGGATACGGGTTTAGCCCATGCACATATTGGATAAAAGCCCGTACATGCCCTATATCATGAATCACATAGGGTTGGCATACCTGCGCTCCGGCCTGGACTTGCAGAGCCAGGTACTCAACGCAGAGCTCGGCAATCTTCTGCAGCATCTTCTTGCTCTCCTCGGGGTACCTGAAGATCCACTTCTTGCTCTGGATGAAGAGCTTGGTTCCGCCGCCCTCGACCATATAGCAGAACAGGGTCCACGGGGCGCCGCAGAAGCCGATGAGCGGGACGCGGCCACGGAGCTTCTTGCGGGTCAAGGTGATGGCCCGGTAGACGTAGTCGAGCTCCCTGGAGACGTCGATGTCGCGGGCCATGACCTCGCCGTACTGGCCGTCATCAGGCGAGCTCAGCGGGTTGGGGAAGTGCGGCCCCTTCTTGTCCACCATCTCGACAGTCATTCCCATGGCCTGGGGGATGACGAGGATGTCGGAGAAGATGATGGAGGCGTCCAGGAGCCCCGCAAACCGCTCAATCGGCTGGAGCGTCAGCGTCGAGGCCACCTCGGGGTCTCGACAGCACTCAAAAAAGTCCCGCTTTCCCTTGGCCTCGTGGTACTCGGGCAGATATCGCCCAGCTAGGAGAGGTTGCACATGCTGTCAAGACCAGTTCAGGTTGACGACGCTAGTGATGATATGGGTGTCTGTATACCTTGCCTCATGATCCATATGGGAGGTCGCTCAACGACCTGGCCTGCAGGAGCGCATGCGTGTTAGACTGACTGATAATACCTCTAGCCTCCTCTTTCTCTTCTTCTTGAACTTCAAGGGATTGTTTAGCTCGGCCGGATATACTGACCCCATGCTGCCCTGATGATGAGATCATTCTGGAGGGGTTCGAAATCGTGGCCCATGGTGAACTGAGTTTGCTTTTTAGACTATTTTACAGTTGGGTTTCCGGAAGAGGAGGTATCCTGGTGTCCGACAAAAAGAGAAGTGAAGGGAATATGAAAGAGAAGAAAAGGAAGGGGAAAATCGTCAAATTTCATCACCAGAACGTGATCCAAGTGAAGCTTAGCTCCCGCCATTGCCGAACCCGGGGGAACCCTTGCCTTTCGCGATGGAGACCCACTGTGCCACATGGTGGGGGCTTGTGGCTGACGCTCAATATCATGGGTGGCACGGGCCTAGCCGAGCTTTGTCTGGTCACGGCATCGCAAGAAACCGCACCGAAATTCTCGCTCAGCGATGTTTCCAGCAGACTCGGGGCAGCCCACACCTACGATACACACGGCCCGATACACCTACTAGAGGCCAATTCCTGCCTTCCATCCTCCGGGCTGCCCCAATTCTGGTTCACAGAGAGCCTCATGCCGCCGCCGACACAACCGCCGTCGATACCCGTTGACTCCTCAACCGACCACCGATGCGGGCGCGATGTGCTCCACGATGCCGCCTACCGACCCCGAGCCATATTGCTCCGGCAGACGCCCTGGCGGGTGGGATCTGGATCACCGACTCCATGCTCTCCAGCATGTTTGAGCGGTACTGCTCGGTCGCCAAGGCGTCCCGCCGCATGGCCAGCTCCGCCCCCGGCCCCCTGGAGAGCAGCAGGCGACTAGGCAGGCGGCGCATGGCCGACGCCGCCATGCCTCAGACACACCCGGCCCTGCCGTCGTGGGCGTACATGTACCCCGCAGATTTGACCCAATGGCGCTGGGAACGCCCGACAACCGCATCCTCCCGCGCGCAAAACCAACTCAACGACGAGAGCCAGCGCAGCGCACTGCCACTGCCGGCGTCGTGGCTCTCGGCGCTACTTGGTTGGGACGGTGGCGCTAGTCCGAGAGCATACGCACACAACGAGGAAGAGGGGGCAACTCTGACAGTCACACCTCCCGAGGTCGTGTCCAAAGGCCAAGGGACCACGGCGCTCGACATGGTCGAGTCAGTTCAGAAACAGTGCCTGCTGTTCTGGGACGAGATCCAGGCGCTGGATGCCGCACGCGGCCCGGAGCTGCTGGTAGACGCCAAGGCCAGGTACGCCGAGATGATGGAGTCGTTTCAGCAATATATATCCTTGGGGATACTCACATCTGGCGAATGTGAGCTGGCGCTTGAGACCCTCGCCGAGAAGATCCGCGACAAATTCTGCAAACCATCACTCCACAACAGGCTACTGCTACAACTGTATGTCAAGACTGTCAAAGGAATACGGTCCTCGCGGCTGGCCCATGGCGAAAAGTACAACAGGCTACCAATCAAGCTCCTCAAAGGACTTTCAGAACTCAACAGTGGTGCGCACCTCATACGGGGCTTCAGGGAGATAATGGCGGAAGTTACACCTGAGCTACTGGGCAACAGGGAACTGGGATGGGTTCAAACCATTCTACGCGCATGCTTGTCGACGTGGTCTGTAGACTCCAGCTGGGGCAACAGATCCCACCTGTCAACAATGGTCGACATAGCCCAGGCCGAGTTGGGTGTGTTTTCCGGGAGAATGTCTGCATTGCAGGCCGCTCTCTCGAGCGACGCCGGGATAGAATATTGCTTGCGCGCGGCCGACGCAGCCTCTGGATCCCTGCAGATATGCGACATGGCATTGCGTCTGTCTCGAGAGATGCGAATTTCAGGACCGGACATCGAAAGGATTCATGTCTCTTTGCTGGCCGGCGCCATGCGTGGCTTCCACCTTGGACAGCATCCGGACGTTATGAAGGCTGCTGAGAAGGTCGTCACCGAGCAGCGAGGACAGCCGCACCACCACAGGCTATTGATCAACTGGCTGTCGGTTCTCAGCCAGATGCCACAGGTCACGCAGAAGACTCTTTTCGCCTTTATGTCAGGGTCTTTCGAAGGCAACAGAGCGGAACAAGTCCGCCCTTCATCTGCATTCTCGGAAGTTGAGCTGTGCCATGTGCTCATAGAGCAGTGGACCAGCCGAGGGCACATCAGCTACAAGGAATACCGCGCCCTCAGATCTAGGCTGCGGGCATCGGGGCCGAGCCACGGATTGCCGTCTCTGGTCGAGTCAATATACGACGTCAAGAAGGCGGATAGCGCCTTTTGGTTCTACATCGGTCTCTGGCAGTGTCTACGGGCTATAGGCGCCACGGAGCGTCTAGTGCCAGCGCTAGAAAGACTGAGTCGGCAGCATCGCGCTCGCCTGAGGCCTGCCTTGGTGAAACTGGCAGAAGCCGTGACTAGTCAGACTGGGAGGGTGGCGGAGGGGATTCACGGATTGTATCACGGGTTGGATGAATGTCATCTCGCGATGGAGGCCAATGGAGGCCTGGGGGAGTCGGACCACGCCCTCAGTGAGATGGTGAACGATACCGAATACCATCCATTCGAGGTCTTTGAGACTCTGGGACAACCACTGATCACCAAAAATACCCCCTCGGCTACGCGGAGGCGTATCCTGCACCGGCGGTTCCGCATCTCGCGGCGACAGGCTACGATATTAGCGAAGTTGAGTGTCATGTTCAGCAAGGCAGCGCATCTGACGGATAGTCAGCGGTTCCGCTACGTCAACCACTGCGTGCTTCTTCTCAAACGTCACAATACGCGTGGGAAGGAGGCTTCGGCGGCGATGACGGGGCTTTTCAAGGTGGTGACCAAGGATCTTCTTGAAAGCGGCTGGACCAGGCCGAGCCGTATCCAATGGTTTTTGTGGCTGGTCAAGAAGTCGCAGGGTGCGGCAGCGGCAGCGGAGTGCCGCAAGGCATTGGACACCTGGGCGCAGATTTGGGCCCGTCGCCGCCGGGAGGAGAGGGCACAGCGGGACGATGAGAGCGGAAACTACATTCGGTAAATCTTGAACCAAAGCCAACATTCCGTTTACAATAGCGGGCTTGGCAGTCCTTGGCGATATTTGGAGCCATGTTCCCCCCCTTTCGTCACCTGCTTGCTTGCTTGCTTTTGTCATGGGAAGTTCCGTCCATGATGCCCAGTTCTCGATGCATTTCTGCGTGTAAACCATGATGAGCGGTGAGGAGTTGCGGGCTAGGGGCCAAAATCATGCGAGATCCTGGACAGCTGAAATTAGGCGCTCGTCCAGGGGTTGAGAGTGGAAAAGTTCCAAGTCTGGCCTTTGCTGATGTTTATTTTAGGGATAGCCTGCTCGAAGCGGAGAACGAGCGAGTGGCGAACGGAGCAAAGGCATAGGCCTGAGAAGGCCCTCAAATTCCCGGCAATGGTGCTGGCGGGATCAAACATGCTCGACGCTGGCAGCAACACGTGCAGGTAGGGTGTACCACCTACCTGTACCCAAGTGGTAGGTATGTGACTTGGGACTGCTTCGTTTGTTTGTGTGTCCAGCCAGCTGGCCGGCTAGCCAAGAAATCCCTCCTTCTCTCCCGATCCCAGAGGCTCGGTTCGTGGGTTCGCGTGCCAGCTTGGGCCAAGACGGCTGGCGACACAGACGCACAGCACGGCACAGCATAGGGGTCCCGACCTGCCCAGCAACATTGGCTCGGCGCCGCCAGCACATCTCCTCAGTCGGAGCGTCTCTGTCCCACCATTCCCATACCGTTTCTCATCCCCTTGTCCCTCCCGTGCATGTTGATTATTCTCCAATGTGCATGGTATCTTGCTGTTGACCTGGGTGGCCCAAAGGCTGATTGCACACCGGTGTTACATTCGTGCCGCTTGTCGCGCACCAAGCGTATGCCCCTGCCCGTTCGCCATCGTCAACCACAGCCCCAAAGGGGAGAGAGAGACTGTCGGCAGGACAGATGACAAGAGGCAAACTCGGTGGGTAGCTAAAATGCGATTCGGATATCCTATAAACGGCCCTCAGTCACGGTTTGGCTGGCGAGGGGAAAGCAAACGGAAGGAAAGCAGAAAAGGAAAGAAAAGAGAAAAGGCCTGGCTCGCATCACTTCCAACTACGGCCTGTCTGTGCGCGTGCATGTTGAGAGAGCGCCGTCACACTAGCGTCACCTAGGTTGGTCAAGGCTGGTGCCCAAGAGGAGCACCGTCTGCCTCGCAAGCGCACCAAGTCAAGGGCGGCTCGTGGCCACTGCCCGCTAGCTGGCTCGCAATTGTCCAGGACAGAGGTCGAGCCAGCCGTCGGCCGAGCCCGAAGCTGTGCGAGATGGCGGGCTTGGAGGCTCAGGCCATCCGCGATTGCGCAGGTCCGAGGAGCTCCAGGCTGAGCGTCAACCCCGGTCCTTCCGCATCGGGCCAGCGCGCCTTCCTTGCTGGGACCGCGAAAGGGAGGGCAGTATTTATATCTCGTCGTTGGGATCCCCGCTTTTTAGGGGCACCACCCGCAACCCCGTCCTCACTTACGTCCGTACGCTACTGTGATCTTCCCACCACGCCCACGCCCTTTACGCCCGCTCGTCCCTGCCTGGCCAACCCCAAGAAAAGAGCCCGCCACCTCGCCGGTTCGACCGCGCCCTGATTCCTGATTTGTCCGCCGCCGCCGCCTCCGGTGCCATTGATACAGACCAAGCATTGGAAGCCGGGACGAGAGACGGACGCCCTGCTTGCTTGCTTGCTTGCTTGCTGTCTTGGGGCTGCATCCACGCTCTTCCGTTGCGCCGCCGCTAGAAACCGCTAGGACCGCTAGAAGCGCAACACCCGCCCACACGCGTTTCTGTCTGTCTCCGCACAGATCCTGCCAGAGAAGGCTGCCCTATGTGATTTGTCCCCGTTTATGCCGGCGCCCCCCTGTGCCTGGCCCTCTGACACCACCGTCAGGCCGCCGTCGCCAGCCCGCAGGCCCGCTCCTGCCTAGAACGGACGGGCACGCCCTCGCTAGCGCCGACGTTGCCAGCCTGCCAGCGGCCCGGTCCCCCACTACACCCACCACACCCACCTTGTGCTGTCGGCTGGAATTTGCATCCCAGCATCCCACGCCTTCTGGCCCAGCTACAAGCTCACCTGCCCCAAGCACAAGCGAGTGCACCAATACCGCCTGGACGACGGTGCCCTTCCGGTGCTCGAATAGACAGCTGGTAGCGCTACATCCACAACTTGCACGCCGCACGTGCGCTGGTTCGCACCAGCACGTCGTCTGCAGTCCCTGCTGCCACCGGCACGTCCTTCCACAGGACTCCCCGTACACACATACACACACACACACACACACACACACACCCACGCGAGGGCTTTGTCCCTCCTCTTTAGTGCTCGATGGCGAACCTTGAACCGACCCTAGGCCATGCCCAATCTGCGTCGCAATGCCACTCTCAACCTGGCCAGGGGCATGGACATATGCAGCGCCATGGCCACGACCAACAGGCCGATGGACAGCCAGGCCATCACACGCAGGGCCACAGCTACTACCACACACACCCATCCGTCTCCACATTGGCGCACCTGGATGGGGTGTCCGGCACTCGCAGTGGACCTCACCCACCGGCGATGCAGACTCATGGGTCCATGTCAATGACCCCCATGGACTCTGAACCAACGGCCGTACTGGGAGCCGCGGCTAGTCCGTTTGGAGCCTCGGGAGCTCCAGGAGGAGTCTTTGGCAACAGCGCTCACGGCATGCTCCTGGACGCAAGGGACATGCCCGGGGGGGAGGGGATGGCCGCCCACCACCACATGCAGCCGCAGCACCCACCCCAGCAGCTGCAGCAGTCTCAGCAGCAACCCCCGCAGCAGAATCACCGACAGCAACAGTTGCCGCACGCAGAGCAACATGGCCAGCTGCAGGACCAGCAGCAGCAGCAGCAGCAGCCGTCTGCACAGGATGTGCCGGATGCCGCCTCTAGCTCGACAGGGGCCGGTGCGCCATTCGGCTCGACATCCTCAGGAGCCCCCAAGCCGATTCGCAGGCGCATGCGTATGATCACGTCCTGCCTTGAGTGCCGCCGGAGGAAACTGAAATGCAACAAATCGAATCCCTGCACCAACTGCTTGAAGTTCGCGCGAGAATGCATGTATCTCGGCCCCAAGCTTGACGAGGCAAGCCAGCACCGTCTTACCGAGATAAAAGAGAAGGCGGGGGCTCTGGAGCGCCAGCTCGAACGCGACGTTGCCCGATCCACCTCCCGCGGATTCCAGCAGCAGAGAATTGTGGCGGATGACGTCGAGGACGAGTACGACGAGGAGCGGGATCTGGAGATCACCCCCATGGTCGCCTTGGACCTGACGTACGACGATCCCGATGTCGACCATACCACAGACGATATAATCGACCTGGGTATCCAGGTCGGCAGAATGCGCATCACGGAGCGGATCGGGGGTCTGAACAGGCCACGTATATCCGAGGAGATCCAGGCTGGTCTGCCGGGCGGCTCTGGGCCGCCGCCACCTGGCTTTGGCCCTCCACCACCACAGCCGCCCCGGGCCGACGGCATGTCGCAGGCCGCAGGCGCCGATGTCTCGATACCCGACTTCCTGCGGCCGGGAGAATCCTACATTCCGCCCACGAGTGGCTACTTCTTTGGCCAGCTCGGCGAGATGCCGTCTCTCCTGAGCTTCATCCCCGGCAATAAGGCTTCCGGAGACTGGCTCATGCAGCGCTACTTCGAATCGGTGCACCCTATTGCTCGGTGCGTGCACCGCCCGTCCTTTGAGATACAGTACGCTACCTTCTGGGACGACGTCCACCACGGTGTCGAGCCTCGTCCCTCGACACAGGCTGTCGTCTTCGCCGCCTGGTTTAGCGCCGTGGTCTCACTGGAAGAGAGAGCCATTCTCCACCAATTCGGGTGCACAAAGGCGGAACTGATGGGAAGGGTCAAGATCGGGACCGAATCAGCTCTGAGCAAGGCTAATTTTCTAAGAACAACTCGAGTTGAGACTCTCCAGGCCTTGGTTATGTACATGGTAAGCCGGAGGATCCCACACACAGGAAGGATTTACCTCTGTTGTTTGTTACCCTTGAAGTACCGTTGATCTGACGTTTCACCAAAACCTTGCCCAGATCCCTCTTTGCCGCGCCGAAGTGTCTAGGGCTCACTCGGTATTGGTTGGAGCAGCCGTCAGGATGGCAGAATGCATGGGCCTACACCGCGACGGCGAGGCCTACGGCCTCACACCGTTGGAGACACATGTGCGGCGGTTGATCTGGCACCAGCTCTGCTTCCTCGACGTGCGCACCTGCGAGGCCCAAGGGCCCAAGCCAGCCATCAGGAGGGAGGACTACGACACGAAGCTCCCTATCAACTGCGAAGAGGACGAGCTGACCAAGGCTGTGGTGCCACCCGAGTCGGCTGAGAGGTGGACCTCGACTCTGCTTCCGTTGATGCGGTTCGAGATCAACGAGATGATGCGCAACATCTGGATGGACCGGCGAAGGCTCGAGATCCGCAAGACGACGGTGACGGCGGTGCTGTCCAAAATCGAGAATTTCCGGAAGCGCATGCTGGACAAGTACGAACGCTACCTGGATGACCGCGTTCCGATCCAGCGGTACGCCAAGTTGGTGATGCACCTGCTCATGTACCGACTGTACGCAATGATACTGCATCCATACCACTCGAACACAATGAACCCGATGCCGCCCCGGCTCAACAGCGTGCTGATTTGGGGCGGCGTCGGCATCGTCGAGATCTCGATCCAGCTCGAAACCAATCCCGAGTTCGCCGCCTGGGCCTGGTACCTGGGTGCCTACCAGCAGTTCCAGATCGCGCTGCTGTTGGCCACCGAAATCTACTACCGGCCCCAAAATAAGGAGGGAGAGCGCATATGGGCCTGCCTCGACTACGTTTTCAACATGGACCCCAACATGAGCCGCGAGGACAAGGGCGTCTTGATCCTGCGCGAGATCGCTAGCAAGACGGCCGTCTATATGGGCATGAGGAAGATGCGGGCGCCCACAAACACCACGAGAGCAGTGCCGGATAAACACGCCATCAAGACGGAGGGCAGTGTATCGCCGCCACCAGCTGCCACAGCGCCACCCGACTCTTTCAACAAGGGAGATGCATCTCGAGGGCCGCAGCAGCAGCAACACAGCCACCACCACGCACAACAGCCTGGCTTGTCCGCAATGCAGTACCAAGCACACCCGGGCGCACAATCCGGCATGATGCAGCAAGGACAGCAACACCGACAACCCTCCCCCGGTGGCCTTTCGCCCGGCAGTCTCAAGCCCGAGCCCAACTCATCGTCGCCGTCGTCGATCATGCCCCAGCCAATGTTGGCGGGCGGAAATGACGGTACCGGCAGAGGACACGGGCTTCCGCCACAGATGCCGACGCCAATGCAGATGCAAATGCCATCCGCCGGCCCGCCCCCGAATGTCGTGTTTGCTGGCGTGTCAAATGGTGAGGTGCTCTGGAGCCTGCCGCCACAGAACGCAGACAGCCCCGAAGGCAGCAGCGATGGCGGCAGTGTTGTTGGCTATTCTCAGCGACATGGGGGCGCCGCAGGTCCTCCTGGCTCCGGGCAGCAGATTGATTGGGTACGTAAATTTGCTGTCTTTTTCCTTGTGCCATTCTGCTCTTTCTTACTCGCCGTGCGTCCAACTAACCGCTCGATGCTTCTAGTCTGCATACAACGAGGACATCAACGCCATCTTCCCGACTGACCCCCAGACGGGAGAGTTTTCCCTGACTGGCTTTATGAACCCAAGTCTAGGCATGAAGTGGAATAGTTAGGCGTGCCGTGTCGTGGCCCCGAGCCGTTTGGAAGCAGGCCACGGACGAGAGAAGTGAGAGCAGAGTCGGATAAATGCATGGGCACACTGCTTTTGATCAGACCAATGGACTGCCCAGGAGGTATTGTGTGCTCACAATAGCAAGATCGGATATACCGAATAATTTGCTATTGCATGTCGTTGTTTTCTGTAGATACCGTAGAGCTGAGCTGGGCCAAAGGAACAAGCTTCAAAATTTAGAACTCGTGGTATTTCTCTGGTGGGCTCGAGGTAGATCTATCTTCTCGTCGTCATTCATAAGTCATTGTGGGTGTGGGAAGATGATACACTGACCCGGCCCGAGCGAGTAAAGAAGATCCCGAATGAAAGACGGTCAAAAAGCAAAGATTTTGCAGGCACAACATGATAGTGTATCAGATGTCGAACATGAGAGAACCAGATGTGGGGATAGTTGAGAAAAAAACAAGTCAAGGCTAGAAATAAATAGATCTTGAAGCGGAGTGGGGTGAAGCGACAAATAAGAACACGAAAATGAAAACCAGACGCGAAGACCAGAGAGGGATATCATGATGCTGAGAACCCAAGATTAACCCAAATTTGAAATAACCCATAACCCCCCTTCGTCCATTAATCCATCCAAAGTGTATGCAGGGGCGAAACTGTATCGTCCGTCCTAGACCCGGAAAAGTCCCTCCCAAGTGATTAAAATATTGTTCGTCAGCGCCGGTCGTTATTGTACTTTTGCTTCTTTTTCTCATAAGTTGCTCTCTCTCCTCGTCTCGTCATTTCCAATTATTAACTCGAAGTATCTTCTCTAGAACCCACCCTCGAGCGGCTCAGCATCTGGCATGCTGAGGGTGCTCCTGATGGTGGGGGGTGCCGAGATAGGAGAGGTGTTACGGCCAAGCAGGCTCGCGCCACCGGCATCGGAGCTGGGTGTGAGGAGGCGGCCTCCACCGCGCCTGCTGGAGCCCGAGGGCCTGGAGATGAGCACTTGTGCGGGGTGGACAACAACCTCATCGTCGCCGCGGCCTTGGTCGTCGCCCTTGCGAACGACGAGTGGGAAGAGCACGATGCGAACGGTGGAGCTGTCGGCTTCGAGCTCCTGGCCCTTGGTAGTGTCGGCAGAGCGCTCGTGCATCATGGTGGCGTTGAATGGGACTGTGGCGGCCAGGTCTCCGTTGGCGTCGTATTCTGGCTGCAGCGGCGGCAGCATGACATACTCGGCGCGCTGAGTGCGCATCTCGACCGCCAGGTCGACGGCTTCGCGCATTACGCGGCGCAGCTGAGATTGGATCTGGTCCTCGAGGTTGGAGGGCGGCGGCAAGATCATGGACAAGGTCTGCAGCACAGCCTGTACGACAGCCTCTGTGTCCTGTTCCTTCTGGTCGCGGAAGGAGGTGCGACGGGCAAGAAGGGTCAGGGTGACGGCGCGCCACTGGCGAACGGCGTGGGGCGGGCCGACCTCGAGGAGGTGTTTCTCAAGCGACTTGAGTTTCTGGCGCTGCTCGCGGTCCATGCCGAAGAGGTAGCGGGTGAAGACAAACTCCCAGATCATGGACATGGTCATGGACATGAAGATGTCACGGCGGCGCACACGGTCGCGGAGGTAGTTGTCGACATCGGAGCCGTCGAGCACGGAATTGTCGAGACGATCGATGATCTTCTCGTCGTTGATCTCGCCCGTCAGGCGGCAGGCGCGCATGTCGGAGAACTTGGAGAAGCGCAGGACCCACTGCTGGACATGAGAGCATAGCTGCTGGCAGCGGTGGTCGAAGTAATCGATGTCGTGGGCGACGAGGAAGTCGCCGTCGAGGCCCTTGGTGGCGAGGATCTGGCGCTGCAGCTCACGAATCTGCTGCTTGGCCTCCTCGAGCTCGGCGCGCAGGCGTGCAATCTCAAGGTCTTTCTCGGCCAGGAGCTTGTGGGGCGGGGGAGGAGTAGTACCGCTGCCGCTGGCCCTGCGCACCTCCTCGAGCTCGCGCGCAGTGTCGGCGTGCTGAGCCTCGAGCAGGCGGTAGCGGTCATCACGGTTGAGGGCTGTCTGGGAGATGGCGCTGTGCAGGCCCTCGTTGATCTCGGTCAGGCGGGCGAGCTCGTCGGTAAGGAACTTGACGGAGCGCTTGAGCGCGTCGATCTGATCGTCGCGATCGGCCAGGGCGCCCGCCGTCTTGTGGGTTTGTGCCTGCTCTGCCTGGGCGCGCGCCTCGTGCAGCGAGCGGTTCTCGGCCGACAGCTGCTCGACTCGGGCCTCGAGCTCGATGACTTGCATGCTCTGGCGGCGGCGCATGCTGTGGGGCCTGGTAGGGGAGCGAGGGGAGCCGATGCGGCCCTCTCCATAGCCATCCTGGGCGACGATTGCGCGTGTCAGCAGCGGTGAGGGATTGATGGGGCAAAGGCAATGGATGGAGAGAGGGCGATTGGGGGATCGATGGTCGGAATTGACGGAATGGGATGGAACAATCAAAAGAAAACTCACATAGACGTCGGCCATTTCTCTGGCGCGGACACGGCCTTCATTGGCGATCGGGGTGCTGTTGTTGTTTGCGCTGGCAGGCGCGTCGGGGCTGCTGAGGGTCGCAGCTGCTGCAAGTCCAAGTGCAGCAACAGCAGCGGCGGCAGCAGCAGCAGCATTGGCAGGAGCAGCCACTGTTGCATCTGCAGCCCCAACAGTCCCAGCCCCCCTGGTGGCCACATCCTTGTCGGCTGTGCTGTCGGTGGGTCGGGGCTGGGGCTGGTGGCCAACCACGCCGCGGAGCTGGTTGATGGATCGAAGGTCGCCGCTCATTCGTCTGTCGGCCCGCCGAAGTGGGGGCGTGTTCCCAACGGACCGAAGGCTGACTGGGCTTTCCGGCAGCGGGCTGATGCTGAGCGCCAGATCGGGCGTGCGTCGTCGCGCAACGCTGGTGTTAGACATGGCGCGTTGCCCCGAGCCGCCGTAGTACTGCACGCCACCATACGGGCGCTGCCCCGCCAGTGGCGAGGCTGGCGACATGCGTCTGGACAGGATGCTGTGGTCTGACCCTCGCCGATCTTCCGCTGGTGTCTGCGGCGCCCGCTCTCTCGCCGCCGTCGCCATGATCGCCGTCGGTATCGAACCGCTCCCCAGCTGCTCTCTGTAAGAGCCTCGCTTTCTGTCGCTCAGGCTACCCCCACTACTCACACTGCTTCCACTGCCCTGCTTCTGAGGCTCTGGGTTGGGCTGCTGCGGCTCTGTCCCCCGCAGTCGCGGCGTGTCTGTCTCTTTAAGCTCCCGCGTTGCCTCGTCCTTGAGTGGCGACAGACGTCTCCTGCTTGGGTCCCCAATCGGCGTGCTTGGTGCAGCAGTTGGGGACAACCTTCTTGTAGCGTCAGGGCTGAACCCGCCAACGTCTCGCACTTGCGTCAAGCCCTCTGGCCAGTCTCGCAGGTGAACTCCGCTGTCACGAACCCGAGTTTCCTGCCGTTCGGTCCGGGCACGGCCAAAGGCCGCAAGCGGAGAGTCCGCTGCATACCCGCTGTCCCTATCCACATCCCGTGGACCTCTCTTGTTCCTCCTCTTGCTCTTATGCTTTGTCGGCTCATGCGTCCCGTCGTCCTCTTCCAGCACCGGCTCCAGCGTTCGCGAGGGTGTCCTTCTCAGATCTTGTATGTCGTGGATACCGGGTCCCACAGTGCCAGCTGGCGTCTGTTGCTGACCCGTTGGTAGCCTTGGTGAAGGCAAGAACTTCGATTCGGACTCGAGAGCGGGCGATGTTCTTGGTGTCAAGTCCGTTGGTGACTCCGTGAGCGGGACGCGCTCTGGGAACTTCTCCTCGACCCCAAGCATAGGGCTGCCACCAAAATCGGAGAGCATGTCTCTGTGCAGCATTGTACCTCCCCGCCTGCCGTTCTCATCCAAGCCCCTATCCGTTGTCGTGGACAAAAAGCTTCGTGTGGAGTCCCTAGGATCCACGTCCATTGCTACCCTCGACTCCTCACCAACGTCGTCCGCACCCTGGACACCCTCAGCAGTGCTCACACTGCCTCTTGGGCTTTCACCAGCAGACTGCTCAGCCATCTTCCGGAAGCTCACCGAATTCCGGTCACCCCTTGAAATCTCCATTGGTTGTTTGAGCTTCGCTTCCCCCAGAGCTGTATTGTCGTCGTCGCGGTCCATTCGTGGATCGATGATCTTGGGCTTCTTGTACTTTGTCTTTTTGGAACCGACGGAACTCTTGGTCAGCGCAGCTACGCCAGCGCCTACCACGGCCGCGGTGACTGCCGTGTTGATGGAAATGTCGTTGGGTGGGCTTGCGGGCTCCGGAGGCGCGTCAGCTAGCCTGTTGCCATCTCGGATTGGCCCAGCTTGTTCCTTTGCGGCGGTGCATGATGGCGGGTTATCGTCCGTTGAGTGCTGGCTGCTTGTTTTGTTGTCGAGAGACGGCTTGGTATCCATCCCGCTTTTGAGGTCTTGCGGGCTGATCACAGGGCTATCGGTCTGGGCGGTTAGAAGCCTTGGTATGTGCCCGTCCTTGAGAAATGCATCGGACCCCTCCCGCGTCATCAAGTAAAGGCCCTTCGACGGGGGGCTGGGAGGAAGATAGTCTGCCTCTTTTCTCATGGGCTCGAGGTCCTCCGAAACGACTGGGTGGACCTCGAGCGCGGTGTCCGAAGGCTGAATAGTGAGAGGAAGCGGTGCCGCATCGGGTTCCATGTTGAAGTAGCCTTCCTCTCCACCTGCGGCCTTGTGAATCTCAACGATCGAGGCTTGAGGCTGAGAACCAGAAATCGCACTCTTGGAGTCAGGGCTGCTGATCAAAGATTGCTCGGCTTCCAGTGCGTTGTCGTGGGACTTCTCTCGTTTGGATTCCTCCGACTTCGTGGGCGTCAACGTGACAGCTTCCGCGAGCCCAACGTCTGCTGGGGCTTTGCTTGGCTTTGCCGCGCCCGTCTCCGTCTGTTGCTCAGTCACCGGGATACCGACACTACCTGAAAGACCGCCGAGCCCGTCGTCTTGCTGTTTCGTGAGCGCAAATTCGAAACTCGTAAGATTTCCGGTTATCATCTTACCTTTTTTAGACCTCTTTGCCGCGATCTTGGGAAGTTCCTTGTGTACTCCGGTAGCCTGGGCATCTAGGGCATTGATCTCCCCAGATGCTCCCCTGTCACTCATCTGGGCTGTGCTGCTTTGGGTCTGGGCTGTGGGATCCGCTTGGAAGCTGGCAGAAGACTCCATCCTTGAAAACTTGTCTGCATGTGGCTCTTGTGTGGGTGCCTCGGGGAGGGCATGGCCAGAAGCAGCAGGCTCTGTAGAAGGTGGGCTGAGCACAAGAGTATCGACGATGGCCGGAGGCGGGGCCCGAGTGTCGTGGGACACAGATAGCGTGGTGGCATCATGAACTGCGGGCTGGGGTTCGGGGATATTTTGCACAGGAGCAGCCACCATGTCCAATGACTTGTCCTTTTCTGACTCCTTGGCGGCCACTGACGTCGACGCGTCATCAGGCGTGGAATCCGATGGTATCAGTACTGCCGCCCCCAGAGCGAGAGCCGCGGCTGTAGCGTCTGCGCTCAAGTCGCTCCTGAGCATCGCCGAAGGTTCGGAATTCAGCACTTCGCGGGTGGAATCCGGTCCTGCGGTTGATGGAGCAGGGTCGCTGCTGGAATGCACCTGTTCGGTGGTATCATCAACGAGGCATGCGCTTCGGTCTGGCGCCGCGCACGTATCCGAGGGGTCATCTGTCCTGGGCTCGGTCAGAGCCCCGCCTGCGGATGATTGTGGGGAGTCGGCCGCCGGATGAGAAGAGGTATTGTCGGCAGAGTCCTCGAAGTGAACCTTTGCGTCCGTCGTGATTGCAGTGCCCGCAGGGACTTCTGGAGGAGACTCCTCCTTGGTTGCAGTAGGCAGATTGAGGAGGCCCTCTCCTTCTGTGGCGTCTTCCGGGGGTTCCACTACAGTTTTCTCGCGCTCAACCGTCTCTGGCGGTGCATCTTCGGGCACAGTGGGGGGAGAAGAATCTTCAAGAGGACGCTGGACATCAGCCTGATCCTTGAGCGGAGTCTCAAAGGATGTGATTTCAACTGGAGGCTCAGTGGGTGTTGCTGTTGATGATTCTAGGCCAACCTCGCTGGCTAGCACAACAGGGACCACATCCAGAGCTCCAGCCTGAGCTCTTGTCGCAAGCTCGGCGGAAGTTGCAGGCTCGTCCTGGGAGGCATCTGGTGGAAGATCTTCGGGAAGTTCGACAATAGGCTCAAGTTGGTGTTTGACAGCATTCGAGGTGGGCGACCGCATGGGCGCAGGGTCGCTGCTCGAGGCGGAAGATTCGGTAGAGATTTCAGTGTCCTGAGGTGTGAAGACAGCTGGCTGGATAGAGGGTTCAGCATTGATCGTCTCCTGCGGCTCTAGCGCATCATGAGCCGGCACCGCGTCGACCTCAGCTGCAGGCTCCATGGCCGTATCAGAGGCATGTTCCGTGGCCATGTGGGTCTTGAGCCCCAAGTTGTCGAGCTCGGAAGCACTCGGCGGAGTGCTCGGCAGCTCAGCATGAGAAATTTCCGAGCTCGGCGGTGGCTCTATGGGTGATGGGTTTGGAGGCTCATTGGCATCAGACGGTGGAGCCTCGTCGTGCGGCACCTCGGTATCGACAATCGGAGACAATGGAACGCTGTCGGCCGCCGAAGTGGGAGCGTGCAAGGGTTGTCCGGTCTCTGAGGGCTCTGGCAACCCTAGTTCCGCTTGTGCTGCAACATCGGCTTCCACATCGGGCACTGCAGGACCCGAGCTGGCCAGTTGTGACGTGCTCTCAGCTTCTTGCTGCTGCGGATTTCTTTGCTTGTTCTTTTGAGCTTGTTTAGTAGGAGTATCCCACGTAACTTCGAGCGCGGGGGGCTGCTCAGTGGTGCCTGGGGCCGACACCGACACGGACAGTTCCTCTGGAGTTGCATCAGGAACCACAACAGGTTCACTGACGACAACACGCAGGTCTTCTGTACTAGAGCCTATGGTCTCGGACAGCAGTGGTGCCTCAGGGTCGGGGAAGGTGATACCTTGCTTCTTCAATCTCTTCTTTTGTTTCTTGGAGAGCTTGACAGGTGAAAGGTCGGTGGCCTGTGTGGATTGCTGGGAGTCCTCCTGGGACGAAGATGGAGGGATATCCAAGACGGGTAAAGCTTCCCCGACAGCTTCATCGGCGTCAGTCTTGCTCGGTGGCGGCTTCAGTGGCCGCTCCTCATCCTTGGGCTTTGCGGCCAAGGGATGGATGGTATCGATCAAATGTTCTTCAAGCACTGGGCCATTGTCGCTCGTCTCGGCTTCTGCGGTATCGTCCTTGGCCGGTTCAATAAGGTCAGGAGTCTCAGGACCGCCGAGAGGCTGACCGAGACTTCCGCTCGGGACAGTACCATCGTCCGCAGAGTCGGCAGCGGGGGTTTCGATAGACCTCTCAGGGCCTTGAGGAATGGCCACTTCAGTGTGGGTGCGATTGTCGTCGACTTCACCGTTGGTCGCGAGCCTTTCCGCCAAGCTCCTGAGCTCCGACGGCGCAAGCGCAGATTCACATTGCGATTGATGGGCGGGATCACCAGGTGACAACTCAGACAGCCCTTCTACAGCCTGGAAAGTTGGCTCGACCTCAGGGTCCAGAGGTTCAGGGGCAGAGGCGGCCAGTGCATCTGTGGCGTGATCGGCGGCGCCCTTGGGTGAATCTGGGATGTTTTTGCTCGACTCTTGTGGCTCGCCAGCAGAGGACTCATCCAAAGCTGCTTCGTTATTCTTGATATTGTTGCTGTCAGGGTCCTTGCCGTCGATATTGGTGTGCTGAACTTTGAAACCAGCATACTGTGGCTCGACTATGGTCTCCGAGTCGCAGGTTGCTGGCGCGTCATCCGGAATTTCGATGGGGGATTCCAGGTCGGCGACGGCCTTGCTCTGCTCGACAGGAGGAGCGGCATCATCTAGAGATTCGGAGGTCCCCTGCTTCTTTCTCTTTTTGCCCTTCTTGGGCTTCGTTCCAGGTGTGGTCTCCGGTGAAGCAAGCTCGGGGACATGGTCGGCGAGAACAAGGCCGGAAGGCTCCGGCCGGAAGTCATTGAGTGGCGTCGCCGGCCGATGATCATCGACATTGCCCTCTCCCGGGTGGCGGGTCTGTGCGGCCTCGGTGTGCTCGAGAGACGTAGGCTGTTCCGGCGCCTGAACATACGTGATCTCGGCCGGCGCAGGCACAGAAGTCTGGAGTCCCGTATTCGCGGCCGGTGCTGTTTCTGTAGCCGGATCCGCGCGCGCCGAGACTTCTTCTGATGGGGCGTTGTGGGCCTCCTCAGTTCCGGTCGGGGCGGGCTCATCAAGACCAGACAGATGCTCGGCATTGTCGGGCCCGGCAGGCGCATTTTCGGCATGGCGACGCGGGCTGCTGGGCTGCTGCAGGTCCGCACTGCTACCAAGAGCAGGGGTATGTGCAGAGGCAGTGTGCTCGATAGTCTCAACCGCCGGAGCATCAGTAGCGGCGGAAGACGGTGCCAGGGCCGTGGGTGGGTCCGGTAGCAATGAAGTAGCGGTGTCGGCAGCGGGCAACGGTTGCGTGTCTGGCCACGTTTGCTCGGCTATCTCGGGCTGTAGTGACCCCTCAATGGGCCCGCCCGTCTCCACACCTGCTTCACCCACGCCTGAGGGGCCGCGAGCTTCTGCTGCGTCGATAGCAGGGCCTGGCTGTGCCGCCCCGACATGCCACTCCGCGACCCCCTCGGCAGGGGTGGGCGAGTCTGTAGGCGTCGAGTTACCGGTCTTCTGGGCCTCGGGGGAACCCTGTCCATCCTGACCGCTTGCTAGTAGCACCCCGGCTCCCACGCCGGCCGCGGCTGCAGAAGCCAGCGCATCAGCACCAAAGAGGCTAGCCGAGTCCCGTCTAGTGCCCGAATCCCCTGCTGTCACATCGCGAGCCCCGGATTTAGGCAGCGGCGGGGTTGTCTCGATCGTCTTGGAAGCGCCTGGGGAGCCAGCCTGAGAGCCCATTTGGTCAATTGATCGTGTGGAGTCGACCTCGGCGACCGATGCCAGAGAAACCGTTGCTTCTGGATTCGCTAATGTGTCTACATCTTTCCAGGCGCCCACATCATGCGGGGAGCCGGCGTCAACAGTGCTCGGTGTCTCATGCACCAGAGACCCATCCGGCTGCGATGCTACCTCTTCAGACTCCGCAGCCGCACTCTTCATTCCCCTATTCTGCTTTTTGCCGGGCTCGGTGGGGCTAGAGGGGCCCGTGGTAGTCGATGGCTCATCATGAAGCGACACCTCTGCTGGCGCCACTAGATGGCCTGGGGCGGGTTCTTCTGGCATGCTTCCAGGGCTCGTCGGGAGTTCTCGTTGCTTCTCTTGGGCATCCCCGGCGGGTATTTGTGATCGTTCCTGGGAAAACATGTCGGGCTCTTGCTGTACTTCGTCAGGTCGTGACGTGGGCGCTTCTGGCATCTGTTCGCGATTGGGCTCTTCCTCCATATCATGCGAAAGAGGCGAGAGGTCCTGTGAAGATTGAGTGGCTAGAGTTTCAGATACACCTTGCTTGCCGCTTGTCTCTTGCTTTTCGTCACCAGAGAGACTTTCTGGCTGGCCATCGACGACCGGTGTGTCAACAACCTGGTCACCAGAGCTGTGGGCCGCTTCTCGTTCTTCAGATGAAATCTGAGCGTCGGTGATCTCAATCTCTGAATCTGACACGGTCGATTCCACTGAGATTGGGTTGTCGTCAGGCGCAGGAACAAGTGTGATCTCTGCATGCTCAGTCCCTACAGCTGAAGTGGAAGGCTCGACTGGGGTGAGAGGCTCGATACCGGTGACCCGAATCTCCGACTCCGCCACTTCCAGCAGCGCGACTGCGAGGTTACCTTCGCTCCCCTCCTCGTTTCCGGTACTCGCAGTGTGGGACGATGGAAGGCTGTCGGCCGCGAGGACTGTATCCTTCGACACCAAAAGCTCTTGTGTAAGGGTTTCTTGGTCTTGAGGACTCAAGCTCTCTTGGGCAGGCGTGTCTTTGTCATCTGGCGGCGAGGACTTGTCGGTGTGCTCGGCCGACTCCGGTGTGATTAGAGGAATGGAATTGGAAGTCTCGGTCACGTCTGCGCTTGCGGAGGATGTTTCATTGACGGGACGCTCAAGAGCGTTGTCCTGCGCTCCTGACAGGACAGCTTCGGTAACAGAGTGGTCAGGCTCCGTCAGATTCAGAACAGTGTCGCCTTCAACGGTGGGTGGAGTGGTTTTGCCCATGCTCTTCTTGACTTTCTTTTCCATGTTAGTCCACGTGGTTTGTTCCAAGTCTGCAGGCTCTTCCTCGAGAGCGACCGGGTCGTTCAATAGTGCCACTTCCGACTTGTGCTCCTTGTCCTTGTCCTTGTCGATGTGGGCTTCAGGAACGATGTCAGGAGCATCCGCCAAGTGAATCCTGGCGACAGTGTTTGCATCCGTAATTCCAGGTGGCGACATCGGTTTAGCATCGCCGTCCTCAGCAGTCAGCAGCTGCGGAAGAGAGTCTGTTCCTGTGACATCTCGGATGTGCGCCACGTCCTTGAATCCGATGCCCAGACCCATGACTACTGGCGCAGACGTGGGAGAAGGCTGGATAAGACCAGCTTCCGCATGTTGATCATGTACCAAAGACTTTGACCGGGGTGGAGAGGATCGCTCTGCCATGGGACCGGGACTATGTGCAGCCGAGCGGAATAGCTGCGAGTTTGCATCCTCAAACGTGTCGTTCGATCCGGCATCGCTTTGCGACAAGAAGCTCTGCGACATGATGTCGGCCGGATGGAGGCCCCGCTCGGCCTTGGGGGTGTTTTCTTCGGAGCCTAAACTCTCTGGGGCTGAGCGGAAGGTATCGGAAATGGACGTATCCAGGCGCAATAGCCCACCAAAGCCGGTGTTGCCCTGGTCAAAGTAGTCGGCGTCGCGCTCGCTGGGGCTGAAGAACTCAGAGGCAGGCGATTCCAAGTCGGACGTGGGCTCGCTGGGCGGCAGCTCGGGCAGCCGCTGTTCAGACTCGGCCTGCGTGCCTGACCTCACATGCTCTGGGAGATAGAGGGGCTTGATTTCGCGGCTCATGCCCCACGACATTGGCCGTGTGAACCTCTTCGTCGCACTCCCAGGCTCTGGGGATGGCGCGGCCAACGGCGGCTGTATGGGGGACGTCTTGATGTTGGGAGATGACGGCGCCGACCGGAGGCGGAACTGAAGAGGAATCGCAGTGTTGCTAGGCGACCTAGTATGGGAGATTTCAAGAACACTCCGACGGCGCGAAGCCAATTTCTGTTTCATCATATCCCGCTCTTGCTGCGGAGGCGTCTGAGGGCGGCTTTCTGGCAGAGGAGGCAACTCATCGTTGAGATCGGGCTCGACTGGCGAGGCAGGCCGACTAGGAGGCAATGGCAGCAGATCGCCGAATTGAGGGTCGATGGCAGGCTTTATTGCCCGTGCAACGATCTCTGGGTCGAGCTGGCCTGCCTCTGCGGAAGGATCCTCGAGAGAACCGTCGGGCTCGACAATGTCCTGGACTGCCTCATCAACAGTGTGCTCGACTGGGCCCTCGGCCGGCGCCTGGCTCACTGCCTGGTCGTCCGCCGGGGCTTCCGCCGATGGGGGAGTAGTGGGGGAGGTGGCATTAGAGGGGGTGGCATTCACGCGCGACGCGGAGCTGAAAATCGCAGCCACACCCGCCAAGCCGGCACCAGCGCCAATGGTGCCGGCTTTAGCTAAAAAAGAAGGCTTCTTGTCGCCGCCCGGTACTGTTTTCACAGGGTCCTCTGTGAAACCTTTGAAGAAGCTGAAGAAACCCCCTCCTCCCATCTGTCTCGCCTTGCTGCTTGGTCCGCCTGGCGATGGCTCGTTCAGCTTCGTCTCGAACGCCTGTTTGCCGCCGACGTTGTTGGAAGGGTGCTCTGAAGCGTCTTCAACGGGTGTGCGGCCCGATTCAGCTGAAGCCATGTCGCGCTGCGCAGCTTCATCCAGCGGATAGTCTTTATCGGGAGGCTCCCCGTCTGGATGTCCCTCTTTGTCTCCAGGAGTATCGAAAGCCACGGTCAGATCCTCTTCAGGTCGTCCCTTCTCAGCCTTTTCTACTTCATCGAGAATCTCTGATCGGTCAGTCGTGCCCGGGTCTAGTGCGTTGTCAGGGGCAGACGTGGTAAGCTCGGTCACCGTCGCCGGGGCAGCGGGGACAGCCGCGTTCGCATCCGGGGCAAGCGTTGCGGTCCCAGAGGCAGCGGCCGAGGCATCAGAAGTAGGCACTGCAGCCTCAGGAGCGGCTGGAGCAGCCTCAAAACCAGCTGTTGAGGCGTCATGGATATCCATCGAGGTGTCGGGAGCAGCCGCGAAGACCTCTGTAACAGCTGCTAATGTCGCAGGAGTGGCCAGGGCAGCCTCAGGGGCAGACGCTACATCCTCAGAAGAAATCACTACACCCTCAGAAGCAGCCATCGAGGCATCGGGAGCAGCCGAGGCAGCATCAGAAGTGTCCATCTCCACAGCCTGAGACGCCATAAGTGCCTCGGAAGAGCCGTCCAAGTCGGTGGGCCTCCTCTCACCCAAGGGCGAGTGTTCACGAGTCTCAACCCACGAGGCTGCCTTCTTGCTCTTCTTCGACTTCTTCGACTTCTTCTTGGACGGAGTCGTCGGGGCAGTAGGCGGCTCAGTCTCAATAGCGTCGATGGTTTCGACGCCTATAGCCACAGGCTTATCCTCTTCGACCACGGTCTGTGACAAATCCGCCTCTAATTGCGTCTGCGGCTTGTCACTATCGGTCTCGGTCTGCAGCTTATCGTTGTAGGCCTGCAGGTTGTCATTGTCGACCTCGGTCGGAAGCGTGTGAAGCCTGTCATTGCCCGCCTCGATCTGCGGCTTCTCATCGGGGGCACAATTCTGCCCGTCACCGGCGGCCTCAATCTGAGGCAGCTCCCTGTCGGCCTCGGTCTGAGGCTGGTCACTGCCGGTCTCGATATGGAGCCTATCGTTGCTGTCCTCGATCTGAAGCTCCCTACTGCCAGTCTCAGTCTGAAGCTCGTCAATGTCGGTCTCAGTCGGAAGCTTGTCACTGTCGATCTCGGTCTGGAGCTTGTCATTGTTGGCCTCGGGCTCCGGGTTGTCCTTGTCGCCCCCCATTCCCGAGTCTACCTGCCCGACAGCGGACGCCACCACGGCGGGCTCATCTTCCTTTAATGCAGCAAGAGCCGCCTTTCTGGCCTTTTTCGCCTTCTCCTTGGAGAGGGGGGATGCTGGTAGGTCCACGGCCTCGGTTTGCGGCTTTTCTGCATCGACCGAAGGCTCGCTTGCGGGGGTGGTGGCTTCAGTCCGAATGTCGGCTTCGGCACTGGTCGCTGCCTCGGCCGGCTCTCGCGACGACGAGATATCTTGATTGTCAAGACCGCCTAGTCGAGGTGATCCAACAACGGTCTCGACCTCTTCTAATTTCGAGGGAGTCTTCTCATCCTTCCTTTTAGTGGGGGTAGTGGGTGGAGACTCAAAGCTAGAATCGGCCACACGGGCACCTTTATCACCTAGCTGGGGTGATAGAGCAATGGACTCCACATCGTCTAGTCTCGAGGGAGATGGCTCTGCGTTATCTCCCTTCTCCCCTGTCGGCGTCGCTGGTTGGCATTCCGAAGACTGATCGTCCGCAACTTCAGTTTCCGCTGCGACAGCGTCAGGAGCAAGCGTAAGGTCGGGAACGTTAGGAGTTTCGGTAGTCTCATGTCTCACAGGGTCCTCGGGGGGCTTTGCAGACTCAGCAGCCTGGACAGCCTGGGCAAACCCGGCAAGCGCGACAGCCTCGAAAGAGTCGTCAGCCTCGACAGCCTCGGCAGGCGCAACAGGGTCGGCAGCCTCGACAGCCTCGACAGGCTCATCAACCTGTGAGGGTTGCGCGGGTTCGATGATCGCGGCAGCCTCGACAGCCTCAACAGCCTGCGAGGGCTGCGCCGGTTCCATGATCTCGGCAGCTTGGAATTCCTCCGGAGCCTCCGTGGGCAAACTTGTCGGCTCGACTGGCTCATCAACAAATGTCGTCATATATGGCAGATGTTCCGACGGCGTAGCCCCAGTGGACTCCACAACCGTGGCGACAATGGGCTCCGAAGCAGTTCCAGGGAGCTCCGGGGAGGCATTTTCGATAAGCTCTGCAGCCACGGCTTGTTCGACCTCTGGATAATCAAACTCGCGTTCGACAGGGATCTCTGGGCCCGACTGCTCAGTAGCAGCCTTCTTCGACTTTTTGCTCCTCTTCTTCTTGGATGTCCGTGGGGACGCCGGCGGCTCCAGCTCGCGCTGAGAGTCAGCAGAGAAAGAAACAGATGGGTCAGTAAAATCCCCAGTCGCTAATGGCTGTGCATGAGGCACGGCAACGACCTCGACAGGCGCCGCCTCAGACACTGCGGATGAACGCTCCGTCGCAACCTCGGGGTGGACGGCCCCGCTCTGGAAAACGGGATCGGAATCGAGGGACCGTGTTACTTTCTCCAGCCCCGTTTCCGAGGTCTTGGGACTTGACTGATGCTCAGGCTCAGATTCAACAGGAGCTGAGAGCTCAGGTTCAGCTTTAGGCCCAGCTGCGCTCTCGGTTTCTGATGCAGTCTCCTCTGCAATTGTTGGTAACAAGACTCTGGGATCAGGACCCAACTGGTCGTCACCCCATGTCGAATAGCCGATTTCTTCCGCGGGGAGCCCCTTTGTCAACTCCGCCTGCGACTCGAGCTCGAAGGCAGGCAGGGTTTCTTTGTGGAATGCGGTTGGGACATCATGCACCACCGCAGTCCATGCTGCAATCACCTCTGGGGTTGGTTCCATGTTCGTCCGTACCGCTGCGCCGCTGCTCTTCTTGCACTCCAGTAAAGGGGTGAGAGCTCCGAAGTCATCATCGGCCATTTCCTTTCTCTCTTGCGCAGATGGCTGTGAGGTTGGATCTTGAGTGGAAGCAGCGACCTCGCGAGAAAAATCCATGGGTTCGATCTCGCCCAGCTTGTGGATCGTATCAGTTGCTGCATGCCATTCATCCGCCGGATGGACATCGGCCGGTTCGGACTTTTCGATCTTGTCAACCAACGTGGACTCGCCCTCTACCAGAAACGGGGCGGAACCGCCTCCAATCTCTCTGGCAGAGATGTCGGGGGGGCCTTGGTCCACAAGTCTAGAGGTTTCTTGTTGCTGTGCTGCCCGCTGCCTCTCTCGTCTCCGCCGCTCATTCCTAGCCGACCGGCGACGGGTACCAGGGTCATCAACCAATGAACCCGTCTCGGAAGGTGAAAAGTCGCTCACGGAGTCAAATGTTGATGAGGGTGGAGATGGGCCTTGTTCACGAGATGAATCAAGATCATTGGCCACCTCAAAACGCGGATCACGGTAGGAGTCGCTCAGAGGCTCCCTTGAGCCAGAAGGCGACTCTCGCATTCGGTACTGTGGGTCATCGATGACGATATTGGGATCGAATCCGCTGTCCTCCAGACCGGCCGCAAGAGTGGCTGCGAACCCCAGGTCGCCGTCGTAGGCATCTACAGGCTGAGCAGCGAGGGCCCTCGTGGAGGTTGAGTTGGGAGCATCGGGCTGGTCATCGTCGACGGCGGCCGCGATTTCAGGATCAAATGGGCTTATGCTACGCTCAATGGCATCATGCTCGGGCAGTTCCTTGGCGCGCACCCTCGGCAGTTCCCCGGCGTCCTGCTCGGGCAGTTCCCTGGCGCCTTCGGCCTGCTTCTCCTTTTCGTTGTCGGACACGGCTTTGGCTGCAGCAGCCGCACCGGAAGCAACACCAACCCCTGTTATAGCAGCGAGGACAGCTCCCCAGCCACCCTTCCTTTTCTTCTCGGGCGCCCGGTCCTGTGTCGGCTCGGATTTGTCTTCCCACGCCGAATCTGACCCGGGTTCGTCTTGAACATGCCTGGGGGACTGGTAGGTCATGTCAGACTCACTATGCCTCGTCTGCTTCTGGCCCGAGGACTCGGTCGTGGGCGCACTGGGAGCCTCGACCACCTGGCCCCTCTGATTGAGCACTGCGGTGGGTGTAGACCGCGGCTTATCGTCGCTCCCGTCTTCAGGCTCTGGCTCCTTCGGTTCCGATCGCGACTGTTGCTTCTCGGGAGACGGCGTCGGGATAGGGGTTGGACAGACGATGTTGAGCATGGGTCGCGGGCGTTCACAAGAGGGGTCTCTGGACCAGAAAATGGGCCTCGCAGTTGAGGTGGAGAGACGCTCTTCCCGAGGCAGGCGGTACGTTGCAAGATCCTGGGGCTTGATGAAATTGTCGACCTTGACATCGGCGTTGGGGCCCTCCCAGATGCTCTTCTCCTTGCGGTGCATGTGCGGCGGCGTGACGATGCGAATGATGGGATCCTCGCCCTGGTCGTACTTGTCCATCACGGAGGAGTCTGGAGAGGCGCTGCGGGAGCGGATCGTCTCCTCCTCTATCTTCCGAGCCGCAACGGTCTGTCGATAATACTTATTGGCCTCCTCCTGCACCACGTCCGTATCCTCGGCATCTTCTCCATCCTGCGAGCGAGAGCGGCTCGGCTGCGGCTCGGCGGCCCTTGTTCCCGCGCGGCCTCGGTGGTTGTGACGTTCGAGCACAGCGGCGGCTGCCGCCATTGCTGCTTCAGGAATCGGGGCAGTTGAGCTCTCTGAAATTTCGCGAGCACGATCCGATTCTCGCCTCTCCGCATCTCGCTCAGACTTCTCGAAAGAGTCGAGGCGACTCAGACGACCACCAGATGGTTGCTGTGGGGGATCACGGGGCAGAATGAATTTGGACGTGTCGAAGTTGGCGAAGTCAGGCTCGCGCTCAACCGTTGTGACCATTGGCGTCAGAGGGCGAACGGGTGTCGCCGAACCAAGCGATGTTGGGAAGACATCATCCGTAACCTGGGCCTTAACAGGGTCAACCGATGCACCATCTGAAGGGGGTACTGAAGACCCCTGGCCCGCCACATCCCTGGCACGGCGCTCCGCTGGGTGTGAGCCGCTCGATGGGGCCGAATTCTCCGCTCGAGGTTGGACATCCCTAGATTCTCCTCCACGGCGTCGCTCCCTTTCTTCGGCGACCACAGGAGCGGGAGCTACCTCGGGCTGCTCAGTCACAGTATCCTTCCGCTTCTTGTCCTTTGGGTGCCGCTCACGTTCGCCATCACGTTCGCGGTCCAACTCTGACTGGGTGCCCTGGGTTTGCGGCTTGTCGTGTGCATTCGCACGTACTCGAGCCTCGAGCATGCGGATCTTCTCCTCCAGCTCGGCACGGCGTTTTGCGTTGTCGTCGAGTGATTTGAGAACCTCTTGGCTGTTGCGGTCACGATCACCAACATGCTCATCGTTGTCCAATGCTTCATGTCGCTTCTCCAGCTTGGCGGGAGCATCGTTCCGGTGCCGAAGATCCTTTCCGCGATCGTCCTGTGTTTGACGGCGCACCTCGTCCTTGGCGGGAGCATCGCTGCGCTGCCGAGGCTCCTTTGCACGGTCGTCCTGTGTCTGATGATGCTCCTCCCGTTTGGCGGGAGCATCACCACGGTGTCGAAGATCCTCTCCACGATCGAACGATACTTGGTGTCGCTCCTCCACTTTGGTGGGAACATCGCTGCGGTGGCGGAGATCCTCCCCACTATTAACCAGTGCTTTGTGCCGCTCCTCCACCTTGACGGGAGCATCGCTGCGGCGTCGAGGATCCTCTTCACGGCGATCCAATGCTTGCCGTGACTCCCCCACTTCAACAGGAGCATCACTGCGGCGTCGAGAATCCTCTCCCCGGCCACTCTTCTCTTCCAAGGCACCGTCCTCTCTTCTCCGGTCGCGCACATTCTTATCGTCAGAAGCCATTTTCGCCACCGCCGCCAGCCCAGCTGCGCCCACTAGCCCCCCGAGAGCTGCGCCGACGAGGGAGGAGCCGCCAGACTGCCGTTTGTGATCATCGCTTCGGCGAGACTCAGGTGCCCTATACCTGTCTGCTTCATAGACTCGGGCGGAGATGGGTGTGATGGGCTTGGGCGCCTGGATCGGAACTGGATCGGGCCGGGAACCTGAGCTTTGCTGGGGAGGCCGACCAACATCGAAGTTGTCTGGATCGGACGTGGGGGCAGGATAGACGTGCTGCATGGGACGTCCCTCCAAAGAGGCACTTTCCACTGAAGCTGTTGCCCGATGGTGTCGCGGCGAAGGACGCTCCTGGCGAGGAGAGGCGACCCCTGCTGGCCTCTTAGCGGAATCATCAAACCCGCAAGGGCTAGTGATAAGCCCCCGCAGAGAGTTATGGGGCCCAAACTTTCTGGGGTCAACGACGTTGCTCTTGTGGGAGTCCAGATGCATAGGCTTGGTCTCTGCTGGTCGGGGCGCGGGCTGGCTAAAGTTCGATGCGGGCAGGGCGGGAGAGAAGCCATAGGCCAGGGCGGGAGAGGAGCCGTAGGCCAGGCCCATGTCGACATCCTCGCTTGAGAATTCGTCCTCGGACGATGTCTCCCAGTCGGACTCGTCGTCGTCATGCTGCGGCTTAGACGAGCCGATACCCTTATCCTTGTCAGCCCGGTCTGCCGTGTTTTTACGCCGGAAGTTACTTATGGCGGTGGCGGCGGCGACAAGCTGCGACGTAGGTCGGCGACCAGCGCGGGCGAGATCCTCCTTATTCTCCTCCCTCGCCATCTTGGCCAGCTTCCGTCCGATCTCCAAGATCTCCTCGTCCGTCTTGTTCCGATGCGGCGGCGAGGGCCTCGTATGGTCGACGTGGGGCGCTCCATAGTGCTGTTGCTGTGGTGGCGGTGGCAGCTGCTGCTGCTCTTGTTGCTTATACACCTGCTCGAAGGACGGATCCCTCGAGACGTAGCCACGTCCATATGCAAGCGATTCCTCAAAGGAGGAGGAGCTCGAGTTGCCAAACTGAAGAAGCCCCTTCTTTTTCTTTTTCTTTTTCTTTTCCGCTTTCCGGCGCTGAGACTCGGGCGAAGGGCCGCTAAAGAAGGAAAAGAAGCCAACAGCTCGCGGCCGGCGGGCAGATATGTTCAGAAGCGACTCGGAGGTGGAGGATGACTCGGACAGGTCAGAGCTCGAGTCGCGGGCGCGTTGGCGCACCGGGATGGGCTGAGAGACGGCTTGCTGCGGGGAAACCTGCTGATGCGGCGAGTACGGCTGGGGAGTGTGATGTTGGGGAGGAGCGTATGGCTGGGCGAGATAATTGTGCTGGGGAGATGAGTACTGCTGCGGAGGGGGATATTGGTGTGGAGGGTATTGCTGCGCAGGAGGATATTGCTGGGGAGGATACTGCTGATACTGGGGTTGTGGCTGGTACTGCTGGTATTGCTGCTGCTGTGGTGGTGGTGGCTGCTGCTGGTATGCCGCCTGGCTAGGGGATGCCACGGTCGGCGGCGCCATGTTGTCGGCGGCGGGGGCGGCCGAAGCCGTCTCGTAGGAATGCTGTCTCGCACGCCGTCTGCGCCGGGAGCTCTCGGGACTCCGGCGCCGGTGGCGGTCCCCCATCGCGTCGGCTGGCGCTCGATTTGGTTTGTTTTGCGGTCAGGTGGCAAAACGGGGCTCGGAGTGTTCCGTCGCGCGCACCATTTGCGGCGGGAATCAAAGCTGGAGACCGTGCCGGGATGGTCAATAGCTTGCCTTTTTTCTTTGGTTTTCAGGGACTAGCGGGAGGCGCGGTCTGGAGTGTGAACGTCACCATCAACCGCGCTCCCAGCATAGCAGAACAGTGTTATTGTTCTGTAGGTATGTTTACGAGCGGAAAGGGTTGCGCGACGGGCTCCATGTCAGCCTCAATGGCAGCTCCAATTAGCAGGTTCGCAAAGAGCAAGCGGTCTGGAGCTTCGACAGGGTTGCCACCCAGCCGGTAGAGAGGGGGCTGGACCAACCAGGATCTGGGCCAACCAGGGTCAACAAGGACCAAGGACAGTCAGATTCGATGGAGGCACCAGCGGAGCACTCAGAGGACAGAGCGCACGGGTGACTGGGATGCCGCGGCTGCCCACCAGCGCTCAATGTCCGGCCGGGCTAGCGCAGGCAGCATGCAGCGCGCTACCACCACGCAGCCAATCAGCGGCCGTCGGCGAACCAATTTTCAGCTCTCATGGCCCCCTCTCATCTCTGGGCGACGCACCCACGCGCACACATACGGGCAGCCAAATCAGCCAGCGCTGCACGCAACCGCTCAGGCCGCGGCAAGCAGAGTGGGTGAGTGGGCGCTCACCACGTGTTGCCTCTCAATTGCCCGCTGCGAATTGTTTCCTCCACCTGCCGGGCAGAGATCGATCCTGTGAGCCTGTGCTGGATAAGCTGCCGGCGGGTATCTGCTGATAGGCAGCCGCAACCTGACAGATGTGTCCCACGCTGGCCAAACAGAAGGCCGCCATGTCCGATCGCCCCGAGACCCTGTCCTAGTGTCTCTGCCCCTCTCTGCACGGCCTGCTCCGAGGGCGATGCATGTAATAGCAAGTCCTACTCCAGCCAGATCACGGTTCGACGGCTGCGTTGCGAATCGCCAAGAGAGCTCGCTTCCATGGCGGGAAACACTCGTCATCCAGAGCCATGTACATGTACTTGTACCTGGTGTGTCGTCAAGGGATCCCTTCCCTCCCGAAGGCAGACGGCCTGCCTACAATTGTGCGGCCAAATGCCCAGACCTCAATATCTCGCGGATCGATCGTCGCTCTGCCAACGACTGGGCTGGAAACATGCATCCCCCGTCTATCAATCCGAGACGCCAGGTCTGCCTGCACGACTCAGAGCTGGGCTGACCACCCGCACAATGTGTGGCGATCACGGAACACAACAACACACCACAGGCCACCAAGCCTTATCAACAATGTCGTTTATTGCTTCCTGATGTTGACTCATATTGCGGCCCTATCTCCGCGGTCAAGCTTTCAATGTATCCTGCATGTCTCAAGTTGGGCGAATCCACCCATATGCCAAAGCCAGAGACGACCCAAACTCTGCCTACCAATCATATCATGACCCTTCAACATTGAACTATGCCAAACTACCCCCCAATCGGCCCTGCCCGCGATGGGTTCTGGAGAAGACTGACAGCAGTTACATCCACGTGCCGCGCAGTCACAGAAACATATCACACCCAACCCGGATGCACCAACGCTAAAAGGAGGAACCCGTGCGATTATGCTGGGCTTGGTCACCTCTCCCCGCCTGTTCGCAATCCTCATCCCTCGCTTGCACCATATCGGTACTTGGGTGTGCAGGGAGCCCTGACTCGAAACCAATCAGAACTGCCACCAGCATCTTCCAGTGTGCTATTCCATCGTCTCGCGTTTGTCATTTTTTTTCCTTTATGTGTTCGAAATGTGTGTGAGCGCATCAACATGGAAATCGCCGTGTCAGTTAGTCCAACCGTTTGTCCCATGACTGTAATGCTATATCCACAGTACCTAAGACGGCTTCGTGGTATCTAGGCACCTGGCTGATTGTGATTGATGATGCGGGAAGTATGGCACTGGGTGATATAAATGCTGCTCTTCCTCTATGAGGCCCATGGACTTGTCAGAGATCGATCGATTTTCGGATTTTCGATTGACAATATATTAAAAATGAACCAAAGAAACATAATGCCATCACGGCCGCGCTGCAGATTTGTTTGCCCACTGCCGGCAAGACAGCTACTACTTGGGGACCTATGGGCATTATGGTTCAGTACTTAACCACGGGGAACAAAATATCCGTGGTTTGCGATTGCGAACTTACAGCGTTCAAACATCTCAATACTAGTTTGACTAGTTACGTGCTTGTAATGACCGAATGATATGGTTATCACCATGAACAGCGGCCGTCGCCTGCAGGATAAGTACTTTCAAGGTAGCCAGTTGGGTGAAACCTTTGCTGTTCCGACGCTGTTCAATCTTTTCGGCTCTCCCACCGCAGCTCTCACACCACCCCACATACTTGGAAAAAAAGACGGAGAAGAAACCAAAGAAGAAATCAGACCCTGCGAGAGACCCTCAGATAAGAACTGTCATGGAGCGTCAACCCCTGGACCTCCGCATCCGCAGCTCCTGGCAAGTGCGCGCCGCAGCCGGCGAGCCCTACGCCGTGGTGCGCGTCCGCAACCTGCAGGCGACAGTGCACGCCGCGCAGGACGCATGGGGCCGGGCCTCCAAGGCGCAGCCCCTCCTCGTCTCGGCCGAGGTCTCGATGCGCGACACCTTCGAGGGCTCCTCGGCGGCCGACGCGGTCGCCGCCGACACGGTGCACTACGGGACCCTGAGCAAGGTCATACTGGCGAGCCTGGAGCGCTACCGGCAGCCGCCGCCCGGCCAGGACGACGCCGACGACGGTAACGGCAGGAGCCTGAGGGACGTGCTGGATACGATATGGTCGGGCCTGACGGGGCTCACCATCGATGGCGCGCGCTCACCGTCGCGCCGCGCCGGGGATGGGGCGCCGTTCCTGGACGCGTCGAGGGTGCGGTTCATGTCCGTCACGGTCACGCTGCCCAAGGCGTCGCTGCTGGGCGATGGCGTGAGCCTGACTGCGACCAGCGTGTTTGAGCAGGATGGCTCGCTGCAGAGGGTGGACGTGTTCGGCACGTGCCTGCGCCTCCACGGCCTGCGCGTGCCGACGCTGATTGGCGTGAACCCGAATGAGAGGCTCGCCAAGCAGTTCGTAGTCACGGACATCGAGGTGGACAAGTTCGACTACGCACCGGATGCGTACACCGCGCTTGAGGCGCTTGCTGTCAATGTATTCAATCCTGCTGGGCGGCACGGTCTGGGGGGCTGACACAGCTTTTTGCTTCTGTCATCTCGCTCGTCTCGGACACGATATTCTAACCTCTCAACTACAGATAATCGGAGAGTCGGCATTCGAGACTCTCGAGGCTCTTGGGTCACACCTCGCACGCGCGATCATGGCAGACTTCAGACCACTTGCGACTCAGACATACTCAGGCCCTCTCGGCTGGCAGGTCAAGATATCCATGGAGAAGCCCACCGCAGTTCCCTTCGCGGACGCGCCGTCCGTCGAGATCCGGGCTGGTGCCGCAGGCCCGCATGATATTCCAGGGGTCCTGAATCAAACCCGCTGAGCCGCAAGTCATAATATCTTCTTCCTAAACTCTCTTGCTGAGAGGGACGTCGCCTTTGGTGAGTTGGCTGATAAACAGAGGGTCTGGGTTGAACAGCATCACATGGAAATGCTCGACAGCATGAACTGATTTGAGGGACTTCCGGTTCTTGAACCAGATGTACTAGGTAGTTGCCAGCAGGCGTCAGCAACATGGAACACCCCCCTTCGCTATCACCATGGCTGGGGTTGAAGTCTCTTACATGGTCTCGAGACACAGATGGAGAAAAGGTCCTGTCGACAAAGGCGTCAATTTCTGCCCGCGCCTTGTCTGTAAGGTCGTCTGTGATCGGATCATCTTCGAGCTCGAAGCGAGTCCAAACGACTAGGTGGACAATCCGGTCATCGATACCATAAGGCCAGTCATTGTGAAGTATCTTGACATCGTCTGGGTGTTCGAAGGGGACACTACCCAAGGGGACAATGGGTGACTCCCAGGCCAACCTCTCTGCGAGGATGAAATCCATGACGCTTCCGTAGTCTCGTTTCAGCCCCCAATTGTACTCCAGATAGCGCCGCAGGTCCGAGGGCTTCCTCTGAAAAAGGTCAAGCCTGTTGAGCTCGATACTCCTTCTTACATCCTGCCAGGTATCGGGGGTGAAGTCTGAGTCTGGCGTACTGATGATTCCACGGTCCTTGTCGGATAGCGAGAGCAAGAACTCGGGACACTCGCGCAACCGAAGCTCCTCGGGGACGTTGACTTGCCAATATGGCGGAGGCTCATGATTGATGCTTCTCATTGGGAAGTGTGGGAGATATCAATAGTGATTCGACTTCTAGAGGGATGGGCAAAGAGCGGCGGCTGAAGATGGATTTGCGTTGGGACAGATGCGCTTATCAGCCGCCGTTGGTTCCCGAAAATCCATGCCGGGAGTCCGTCCACGCACTCCGAGTCGGGGTCAGTGTATTTAGTGCTATGTGGTGTGGGAATAGGACTGCCACTGCGCTGCCGCCTGTCTCGGCAGACATGGGTATTCGTATGTTCCGTTTTCGCTTCCTATTTACCAGCTGGCCGCACCGACGCTACGGGAGACTTTGGCTCCATGTGCAAGCTGGGGCCACTCCATGGAGGCGCTGGACACAAGCACCAGGGGGTTGTACTGTGTGGACGCCGCCCCTCTGGCGCATTCAGGGGCAATCCACTCAACCCATTGGACAGAGTTGGGGTCTCCCAATGGTTCGCTAGCTGACCAGACCGCGAATGCTCGGGCCTAGCGCGGTATACCGCCGACGTCCGCACCCTTGTCCGCGTTGACCGCCTGGAAAAGTGATGGATGGAGAATGCTCCGAACCCAATGCCGGACCAGGCTCCGGCCTGTCCTTGCCACATCATTCTGGAACGAGATTGAGATGATCGGGTTGAACCGGTTGGGGCGAAAAGAGAAGACGAAAAAAGAAGAAACCGCAGTGGTTGAGAGGATCCGATATCAAAGAAACACGTTCCTGGCATGCAGGGTTTGATTTGGCAGAAATGGAACCGCAACGGAATGCACCTGCGAATTTGAGCGGGCCTGGGGCACTGATGGCAGCCCGTCCCCTCCACTGCCAAAGATTTGCTGGGCTGTAAAACCAGGCACAGATGGATGCGGCCGGCCCAACGCGGACCAGGGTGGTGTGCATCTGGCACCGGCTATTGTGATGACAGCTGCCCGGTGGTCGCCGGCTTGCTTGGGCAGGCTAGCTAGGGACATATGCCGTTCTTGGGTTTGGGTTTATCTATCAGGCACGGATGTGCTTGCTCAATATCATTGGGCATGAGGCAGCTGGAGAAGCTGAGGGATTATGGGAATGAAAGGAGGCAATATTGCCAACCCGTAAAGTTATCGTCGGAATGGAAGCTCGGTCCGTTTTCCATTGATGTCGCAAACAAGCCATCGTTTGTGGCAAAGTCATGGAGGCAAGGGCCGCTACCCCATTAAGGTCTAGAAAGATGTCACTGGGAAAAATAGAAGAAAAAAGCCGCACCCAACCATGACTTCTTTCACGGAAATCCCAATGCTGCACGGTAAGCTATTCGTACTTTTTGGGTACCTACATCTGCCAAGACGGGCTGGAACCATTTCGTAGCCCGTTTGCGTGCAAAGCCCAACCAGCCAAAACGCTAGGTGGGCTGTGGATGACGACGACCTGGTAGGTACTAGTAGTTACTCCGTGCGGTGATAGCGAAAACGAAGGAAACGAAAAAAAGACCAACAACGACGAAAGACCGGGTAGCATTCAGCTTGGACGGGATTAGAAGAATATAGGCAGCATAGATGAAGGTATTCGTGCGATATCGTCTGTCACGTTAGAAAAGCACAGGGGCTTTCGATAGCTGGCACCCAGGCAGGTTAGCCCGTCGAAAACCCTTGCATATCCCGAGCGCCACATTTCCTATTTCTGGGATTTGGCGGATGCACACCCGACGCTTGGGCCTTTTCCGGTCTTCAGCTGCTTTCTTGGCCCATCACGTTGACGAGGCGATAGATAGGCGTGGATGCTTCGCACTAAGGCGCTCCAGGGGCCTTACCGCAGGTCTTCTTAGGCCTCCTGGTCCTCTGGAGAGGCTGGCGTTTCTGGATACTGTGTGGAACCAAGCCCGCTTGTTTGCGGGGAGAAAGACTCGTGAACTGGACCTTTGTGGTGGGTAGACGGACACTCAGGAGGGAGCTCCCTGGGAAAGCGTAATTAATACATAGGTTCAGTCCTGCCTCGCCGCCGACGGGTCTTCTGTTCTCCTAGCTATCGCTTCGTCCAGCTGCGCTGCTGTGGTCAACCCCAACATCAGACTGACAGTTTTGGTCTCGCGGTACGTCGCATCCTACCCTTCGTCTTAGCTTGGTTCAACGTTGCGTCGCTCGAGTGGGAGTGGGTGTGTACCCCTCCAAAAGAGCTCCCCCTCCCACTGCCCGCAGTTGATTCACCAGCCGCAGCCCAGCATGCATTACGTCAATCGCCTGCCCAGCATGGATAGAAACGCGCCTCCGCCCGTCCGCCGGGAACCGGCTCCCTCACTGTAGATGGCCTGCTAACAGTGATTTCAGCCCAACTCGAGTTCTTTTTCTAGTCCTGCCTTGCCCCGCCACTCCTCGTTGCCTCTTCCATCACCACCTAGCTCACCACCGGACGAGAGCCCGCCGCCCACCTACCTCATAATATATCAAGTCCATTCTGAACCAAACAGCCTGCGTCCTCCGCAGTAACGAACGACGAGATGGCTTCCCTGAAGAACGCCGTCAGGAGCGCGGTGCCCTCCCATCTGAAGCCCAACGATGGACAGGATGGCGACGCCGAGTTCACCCAACGCCACCACGGCAAGACTCGCTCCCACATGGTGAGTAGACTAGCCCCGCATATCGGCTCGGCCGACATCGACTGCTACGCATTCCTTCCCTTTCCCCTCGCTCTGAGGCACACATCCCCCGCCCAAAGTCAGACCTGAGGCGCCGCTAGAGGACGCGCTGCCAGTCCAGGAAGACGGAACTATAGTCTGGAGCTCCGGAGGGCGCCGGTGTCTGTCAGGAATACCACTGGAGATGCCCATCATGCACCTATATGCACAACCCGTTTCGCATAGTCTACGGGGTGCTCAAACGCTAACGAGATGGTAATGTAGGCGTTCGAAAACACGTCGACCAACATTGCGGCAGCGCAGATGCGGAACGCCCTGACCGGCCTGGGCGAGACCGTCACGGACCCCCAGCAGAAGAAGGTAAGGCGCCACTCTCCCCAGAGTCCCTCCGTATATAATGCCGATGTGACTGACTCTAGTTTGTCTTTCGTAGCTTTTCGAGACGGAAATGGACAACTTCTTTGCCCTCTTCCGGCGATACGTGAACGACAAGGCCAAGGGTACCACAGTGTATGTCTCAAACAACCAATTCAACGAAACCGAGTAACATGACCCTGGTGAGGTAAACGCGACTGACATAGTGTTTTGTGTGTCTAAACAGTGACTGGGACCGTATTGCACCGCCTGCCCAAGGCCAGGTTGTGGACTATGACGATCTCGCAAACTCCGAGTCCGTCGGCTTCCTGAAGAAACTCGCCGTGCTCAAGCTGAATGGAGGTCTCGGTACCTCGATGGGATGTGTCGGTCCCAAGTCAGTCATCGAGGTCCGTGACGGCATGTCCTTCCTCGACCTATCGGTTCGGCAAGTCGAGCATCTGAACCGCACCTACGGCACCAACGTGCCCTTCATCCTGATGAACTCGTTCAACACCGACGAGGACACAGCGGCCATCATCAAGAAGTACGAGGGCCACAACGTCGACATCCTGACCTTCAACCAGTCGAGGTACCCCCGTATCTTCAAGGACTCGCTCCTGCCCGTCCCGAAGGATTTCGACTCGTCTATCGATGCCTGGTACCCCCCTGGCCACGGTGACGTCTTCGAGTCGCTCTACAACTCGGGCATCCTTGACAAGCTCATTGAGCGCGGCATCGAGATCATCTTCCTGTCCAATGTGGACAACCTGGGTGCCGTTGTCGACCTGCGCATCCTGCAGCACATGGTCGAGTCGGAAGCCGAGTACGTCATGGAGCTCACCAACAAGACCAAGGCCGATGTCAAGGGTGGTACCATCATCGACTACGAGGGCTCTGTCCGACTACTCGAAATCGCCCAGGTTCCCAAAGAGCACGTCAACGAGTTCAAGAGTATCAAGAAGTTCCGGTACTTCAACACCAACAACATTTGGATGAACGTCAATGCCATCAAGCGTGTCGTTGAGAACGACGAGCTCGAGATGGAGATCATCCCCAACGGCAAGACCATCCCCGGCGACAAGAAGGGCGAGTCGGACATTTCCATCATCCAGCTGGAGACGGCCGTGGGCGCGGCCATCCGCCACTTCAAGAACGCCCACGGTGTTAACGTCCCCCGCAGGCGCTTCCTGCCAGTCAAGACGTGCTCTGACCTCATGCTGGTCAAGTCGGACCTGTACACGGTCAAGCATGGCCAACTGCAGATGAGCTCGAGCCGCTTTGGCGACGCCCCGCTCATTAAGCTTGGAAGCGACTTTAAGAAGGTCTCCGACTTCCAGAAGCGCATCGCCTCGATCCCCAAGATCATCGAGCTGGACCACCTGACCATCACAGGCGGTGTCACGCTGGGCCGCGGCGTCACCCTCAAGGGCACCGTCATCATCGTAGCCACCGAGGGTCAGACGATAGACATTCCGCCTGGATCCATACTGGAGAACGTCGTGGTGCAGGGGAGTCTGAGGCTCCTGGAGCACTAAGCAGGTCGACCCAGCCAGGGTCCCTGGTGTGCGGGTACATATTTGTTTTTTTTTTTATCTTCACGGGCGGGCTTGGCCGGTTCTAGAAAAGACCAGGCGTCGCCGCTACGGTAATCGCTCGGCAGTACCCCCGGATTAGTACAGCTATGTCGTATAATAAAAGGAGGCCTCTTTGAAGAAGGTATGTGAGAAGGCGTAAACTTTGGTTCTTGGGTTCTTGGGTTCTTGGGCATGCCCGATTTCCTGGTTGATGGCCAGCCCAAGCTGCATGATAAGTGCACATCTGTTGTTGGTCATCTCGTATATCTGCTTGCTATCGTGGATATCTATTCTCGGCCCAAGACACTGTATAAGAGGCAGAGCAAAATCCATTTATTATGACCACCACCTATTTCGATTTCCTCATTATGTAGTTCGCAGCTCGACTCGTCGGGTCGCGCTGTATTTTGTAGCCTTTACGTGCGCACTCAACACGCGTGGGCGACACATGTACCGAGGCCCACGATCCTTCTTTTACACGTTAGCTGCCGCAACCGAGGGCAGCCCGAGTGACCTCCATGTCACGGGAGACCGATCCCTCGTCCGGGCCATATCTTGTGCCCGCCGCCGCGACAGGTTTGGCAGGCCTGGGTGGCAGGCGTGACCCGTGGCGCAGCGCTCTAAGCACGACCGGGCCTCTGCGCGTCGGAACGGAGACATCCAGGTGCTGCAGTGGTTCACTTTGCGCCGAGGCGGCGGCGGGCGGCGGATCGAGGCTGGTGCGAACCACGACACAGTCCTCGACGCCGCCTTTGGGGCGGCGCTCCTGCTGCGCTGGTGTTCGTCCCTGCTGGCCCCGCTGAATTTCGCGGTCAGGGAGCTCCTATTTCCCCTTGTTCCCGTTCTTCTTCATCGTTTCGTCGCAAATTCTATCTTCAGAGTTAGCGCCTGTAGATCGAGGGGGTCTATGAAAGATAGCCGATGGGGTTGGGAAAGACGTGTTGACTTACGGGCAATACCAGAGTCCCGTAGGCTCTGCCTTGAGACCAACGCAGCCCCTGTGTTCCAAAACGTTAGCGACCTCTCTCTTAAAGCAAGGCTCCCTGTTTCCCAAGACAGAACAAAGGGTAGGGTATATGATTTACCAGTGGAACCACTCCGTAGGGCACTCGGCGTTGTCGCAAGCTACCATGTCGCCGAAGCTCACGTTCTGACAGATGCAGTACTTGCGGTCGTCGCCGGCCTCGTCGTCCTCGATGTCCAGCATCTCTTCGTCTTCGTCATCCTCGTCTGCCGAGCCCCTGTGCTCCTTCTTAAGGCGCGCCACCCCCGAGCCCGGCCTGCCAGCCGTGCCAGTTGTGCCTTTGTGCTGAGGAGCAGACCCGAGCGCAACGCCCGGCGTTCCTGTGCGGGAGCTGCGCTCGTCGCCGCTCTGGTGTGACGCGGCATCGGACAGGTCCGAGTCCACTGTTGAAGATGGCGACGCTTTCGCCGATACCCGCTTGACCCGAGAGAGTCCTGACTTGTTGACACCAGCGCCCGTGGCTGCGGGTGTGCTTTTCTTCCGACTATGCGAAGAAGACGGCGTTCCAGACTTCCGGCCAGCTCCCCCAGACGACGTGCCCTTGATGGAGGCCCTGGGGCCTGCACTGCCTGCCCGCTGCGCACCGGTTGCGGTCTGGTGGCCCTTTGGCGTCCCGGGTCCCAGCGAAGAGTGCCTTGCGAGGCTGCTCGATGTTGCTGGCACATTTCCAAGTCCGCTATTGATCCGCGGCCCCCTCTTAGGGGCGCCGCTGCCGGGTCCAGCAGACATCTCACGGGCCTGGCGACCGAGTATCATGCTGGCGGCGGGAGTGGCTGGGGCTGAAGCCGATGTTGCGTGTGCCCCCCGCGCCGAGCCGCTTGCGACGCGGACGGTACATGGGGTAGCGGCTGTGGAGGGGTGCACCTGGTTCGATACCAACGCGATGTTGGTATTGACAGTCAGAGTGATTCGCGAGGGAGGGGCCGTCTGGCTCGCGGTTGGGCGCAAGAGGGACGGCAGCTCATCCGGGTCAGTGAATCCGGGCTCGTTTCGGTCGTAGAGCATTTTAATCTGCATGTCCAGCTGGCGCAGGTGCTTGTCCATGATCATCGTCATCCTTTCGGTTAAAGCGAGCTTTTCTGCCGACAAGACGTCTGCTTTGGCGAAATTCTCCCGGATGACGCTGCGGAGGTTCTCCTCGCGTGGATTCTTCTCATGGCTTCCATGGGTTTTGATAAACTTCTGGATGCGAGCATCCCGCTCCTCGATAGCCTTGATGCAGTCGTAGTACTGCCTATCCTTGTCCGCGATCTCATCTTGGATGAACCGGATCTCCTCGGGCAAGTTTTGCACGCGGTGAGTCCAGTCATCCAAGATCATGGACGGGTCCAGGGCCTCGCCCTGAGGCATCTTCTTGACGAAGTCGATGGAGAGATCGTCTCTAGGCATCGTTGTTAACAGCCGCTGAAACGGGAGTAGAGAAAAGTAACGGGCCGTTATCGGCGATAGTGCAAAGACACGCAGATAGGCAGGCTTGATGTGGAGCCCCTCTGATCTTGTCAAGTAGTGACGACGCTAGTACGTCGAGGTGTCGGCTGCGGTGCTTGATGACGAAGCAGTGGCAAGACACCCAGTGTGGTAACACGGATGGTGTATATATACCGCCCTGCTCAGCGCCTCCGCCTCTCTAATACTAGGCAAATACCACCCAAGTGTGGGAGTACAAGGCCAGGCGGGTGGTGTGAGCAGCTAACGGAGGCGGGCAGGTATGCAAAGAGGCAGCGGGGGCGCAGGCAACCTAGTCTAGCCAGACGCGACAGGGTGATGAGAATGCATGGGACTTGTCGCCAAAGAGCACAGAGCAGGCCACGCCGAGACACGAAAATGTGCGAGGCAGGAAAGGAGATTGTCGAGGAAGGAAAGAAAAGGAAAATAGAGAAGTAGAGAAGCGTGGGCCGAGCAAGGCGACAAGGGATGGTGGCGGTTGGGGAGGCGCGACGGGGCTCGGAGCGGAGCAGGTACGTTGTATAAATTGAGCGGCTCACCTCGACCGGCGTGAAGAGGGCAAGTGAGAAATGGAGCGCAGAAACCGGGTCTGCCTCGCTGGTGACGGCCCCAGACCCGACAAGACCCTTGCCGCCGCACAGCCAACGCCCGACTTGAAGTGTTTGTTGAGGTGGGGAGAAGGGGATTTGCGCCTGCCGAGTGATGACAGCCTGGGCAGCGAAGGCCAGAGAAGGTTAAGACCAGCAAAAGACACGGGGCTTCTTTTTCTCGATGTCTCTGAATCGATTTCGACACGGGCAGGAGCGGAGTGGGGTGTGAAATGCGTGCTGCGGTGCTGGGTAATCGCGGAAAGAAATGAACGCTTAAAGGCGTGGAAGGGGCTAGCCAATTGGGCTCCCTACAAAACTTTCAGCCTCCTCTATCTGAACTGACTCAATCTGAACTAGCGTTTTTGACAGGGGTGGGTTCCAGCCACTGGCCCATCTGTACCCCAGCGGCCCCACCCGCGATGCTGCCACTTTGAAGGTGGAGCTCCAAGGCAAGCCATGGAAGTCACAAGTCACAAACTTGCACTGCACCAGGCTCAACTGAATTCGCGTTTTCATCATCCGTTTTTGCGGCAGGCATCCAAGGAAACATCGAATAACAGTGCAGTCCGAACAGCCATACGACCATCTAAACGACAGCGACACTGGGCAGGCAGGGGTCACGGCTTCTTGTCACAGTAAAGCTTCGAGTTACATTCGCGGCATCATCTTACTTTTTCCCTCGCGACTCACCTCTTGTGCTTTACGCCCGCGATATCCATCCTTCCTCGCCTACTACCACACAACCGAGGCCTGCCCTAGGTCGTGCTTGGGTACCTACCGACACTCAGCGGGCATCTTGCCGCCTGTCTGGGACTTGCGCGCCAGTCTGCCCGGCCTTGCAAGGGGCCTTTGTTTTCTGTTCCATCTTAGGTGCTGTCATCCTGAGGCTAAACACAGCGTATCTCCACCATGGATATCGACTCGTACAGATACCGGGTCCCGCGGCCAAATTATCTCCCACACAATGTCGACGCCGACGACCGTGTAGTGGAGGATTATGTTGTGCCGTTAGACCATGCGAGCGATATGGAAAATGCCACCTACTACAACAAGGTAAAGCGGACTGCGCAGGAATTCAACATCACGCGGCCAAAAGGCTACAATGTTTCGTTCCACACGAACCCGGAGATGGAGAAGCACCACTTTGGCCAGACACACCCCATGAAGCCGTGGCGTCTTACCCTGTCCAAAAGCCTGATCATGTCCTACGGCATGTCCTTTGCCATGGACAACTACATCTCACGTGCCGCCACATACGAGGAGCTGAACATGTTCCACGCCAGCGACTACCTGGAGTTCCTCGCCACCGTCGCCCCAGAACCAGTGCCAAGAGATGTGGACAACCTGAACCCGGACCTCAAGTTCAACCTGGGCGGCTCTGACTGCCCGCTGTTCGAGGGCCTTTACGACTACTGTTCCATGTCGGCGGGCGGATCGTTGGATGCGGCCCGTAAGATCTGCAACAAGGAGTCCGACATCGCCATCGCCTGGGGTGGCGGGCTGCACCACGCCAAGAGATCCGAGGCGTCAGGCTTCTGCTACATCAATGACATCGTTATTGCAATACTGCAGCTGCTGCGGTGCTACCCCAGGGTTCTGTACATCGACATCGATGTGCACCACGGTGACGGTGTCGAGGAGGCCTTCTTCTCAACGGACCGGGTCATGACCGTGTCGTTTCACAAATACGACCCCCAGAACTTCTTCCCCGGCACCGGAGCATTGGACGAGAACGGGCCCAAGAACGAGCGCAACCCGGGTGCGCACCACGCCATCAACGTGCCGCTCAACGACGGCATCACGGATGAGCAGTACGAGCGGCTGTTCCAGGACGTTATCGGCCAGTGCGTCGAGAAGTTTCGGCCGAGCGCCATCGCGCTTCAGTGTGGTGCCGACTCCCTCGCCGGCGATCGCCTTGGTCGCTTCAACCTTCAGGTCCAGGGCCACGGCTCTTGCGTCGCCTTCTGCAAGAAGCTGGGGATCCCCATGATCCTCTTTGGCGGCGGCGGCTATACGCCCCGCAACGTCGCCCGCGCCTGGGCCTACGAAACGAGCATCGCCATCGACTGCCATACCAAGATCGACCCCACCATCCCGCTTCACACGCCCTGGCGCGACCACTTCCGCCAGGATACTCTGCTGCCCACACTCGAGCAGGTCGTTGGCGAGCCCCGCCAGAACCGGAATCCCAACAAGCGCCTGGCCGAGATTGTGCAGCACGTGACGGAACAGATGCGCTTCGTCAACAGCGCTCCGAGTGTCCAGTACTCCACCATCCCACCGGACCTGCAGGGTATCAGGGACGAAGTAGAGGCGAAGATCAAGGAAGAAATGGAGGAGAAGGACGAGAACGGAAGGAAAGCGAAGGAGGAGGGCGTCGGCGTGGCGATGGAGTTTTGAGGCGGAGAATGGTTGATATGTGCCTATATATATATATATATATATATATCCATTCTCTTCGGCGGCCCTTGCTGGACTGACGTGCAATATTCTCTATTTCGGCTGGCCTTGGTGTGATTGGGTTCAGGTTGGCTTTTGGATAGGTAGAGAGCTTGGTAGATGAGAAATGATACTACTTGGCATTGTCATTTTTAGGCAGTTTTTATTCGGCATACAGCTGTGGCCTGGATAAAATCACCTAACCCCTTTCCCAATGTATCTTTGGCGGTGGCCTGGGCTCTAAGCATTCCCCCCTTTCATCACCAATACTATGTCTTGGCCCTGTTCATCAAGTTGTATCAGCTCTACAGTAACGTCCTCGTCTGAGTTGCCGATCTCCCAGGCGCCCGTTTTGACACGCCGCTCGTGCAACAACGGTGAGCTTAGATCTCTCTTGGATCCGAAGTGCCGGTTCGACATTGGTGACGTCTCCCCGCCGGCGCCCAGGGCTCCGCCTCGGAAGCTGGCGAGCATGTCGTCCGTTATAACGACCAGGGGCGTTCTCCACGCCCGCGAGCGTGGCTCGCTCCTGGGAAACCGTCTCGGCGGCGTTGTTGGAACTGTTACACGCCGCAACGCTGGCGAGCAGCGCGTTGCCCAGCACCAACTCGTACAGGTTAGTGAGGTGGTTGGATATGATCTGGAACTGCCGCATCAGGGCCGTGGTTAGGCTCCTCTCGAGGTCCACATCCGGGACCGCGCCCGCGCGTCCCAGGCCGCGCTCGATTTTGGCGACTGAGATGTTCCGGTCGACCAGGCTGACGTTAAAGCTGAAGCGCGCAGGCATAAATTCCACGGTGCATTGCGTCGCGCTGAGCGCCCGATGCGTCCTGCTGGCCGCCGACGACCGGGAACACGCGCCCGAGGATTTGGCCCCCAGATTGTGAAGGCGGTGCTGGCGCTGCGGGCGCAGCCCACCACGGCCTCGTAGCCCTTCTCGTTGTAGCTGTAGCTCACGGTGCGGCCGACGTAGATGAACTGCGTGTTGTCGAATTTGGCGTGCTTGCGGACGGACCCGCCGGCCGGGGTTGGCCGAGACGGCCAAAGATATAAGCGCGTCGATGTTCTTGATGCCCGCCGAGTAGCCGAGCGTGCCCTGGCGCGTCTGGACCGACGGCCCTGTGGCATCCACCTCGAACGGGTATTCCTGTGTCAGGCTGGTGCTGCCAAAGGCCGTGACGGCCATGCTCATCTCAGTAGTCAGGGAGGGCGAAAGCTCCGGTCCAGACCGCCGACAGGGCAAGGCGGACGCACGCGACGGCGGCGGCGGCCGGGGCGATGTGGGCGAGGGAGACGTTGGTGTCGATCTTGACCGTCGTCATGCTCCTCCACCCCCGGAGCTGCCTCGTCGTCATGTGCGGCCCATCGGCGAAATGGAGGATCCCGCCGTACTTAATCAGGTGGCAGGCGGCCAGACTCTGCAGCAAAGTCAGGGGGTCGATAACACCTGCACCACCAGCTGCGTGGAGGCGCGGTTCTCTCGTATAAAGTCGGACGCGGGGCTGGAGAAGACTCGCGTCTCCGCGTCGGCGACGAGGAGGGCGATGCTGGTGGCGGTCGGGATGGCGAGGCAGAAGAGCGCCCACCACTTGGTCCAAAACCCGTCCGCAATTTTCGCGACTTCGCGATCGCCAGGGGCGAAAGGCTGTGCTGCGTTACATCACCCACCCGAGAGGTTTCGCGCCAAACATGAATAGATTCTGTCCCAAGAGCAAGGAGATGCTGTATTTAGAAGTGGGTTGTGTTATAAGGCAACAGCGAGGAGTTCCGGTGTATTCCAGTCGGCAACCCCTATTCCCGTAGGTATGAGCGTGCCTCTTTTGAAAATTAGATATATCGTTGCTCAAAATTCCCTCTTTGGGCTAAGGCCGACCCTGGCTTGTTTGCGATTGTTTTCCTCGATTTTTCCGCTTTCCAAAAACCGCCATATGGACTGATCAATGCCCTTTGATCTGCTATTGTGCCGTTATGATTCCAGGCCTGAAGAAATATCAGCATGCCTCTCGGTCCGCAAAGGCCGACTCAGCCTCTTGCTCAAGAAGATTGCGGCTGATCCTCCGAGATTTGGTGCCGACATATACAACCAGAGAGATTCCCACCGCTAGGCCGGCCGACGCCAGTATAAGATTCACAGGGACCGGGTCTCCTTGGAATGTCTTATGGAAGAGATAGTCCAAGCCCGGCTGGGAGAGGTTGAAGAGGCCGCTGAGACAGATGATGGTTCCGTAAACAACCCCAAATGTCCTAAAGCCAAACACCTTGGCACTGAAGTCGGAAACAGCAGTGTAGTAGAATGGGCGGTACAGGACGAAGAGACAGATGTTGCTATATGCTGCCCACGCATAGGGAATAACTCCAAGAACGCCAATCGCCGTGGCTACCGCGACTAGCGTGATGAGGACCGTGACGGTTCTGGTGTTGTCGAGAATCATGCCGATAAATGGGATGGAAACAATACCACCCAGGGGCAGGGCGAGGTCGAAGAAATTGTTAACCTCGACGGCGCGGTCGTGACTCCCGAGGAGGGCCTCGTACTGTGGCCGAACGGTGGCCACGAAATAGTTGATCCTCGTCATTTGTATGACTAGGCGGGCAGAGTTTCTTGGATATTAGTTTCCACTTTTCCCAGATACAAACCAGACACGACCCGTCAGACAGCTTACCAGTAAATAGCATGATGAGAATGAACCACGGGGACAGCAGCTGTTGTTTGATGGTGCTGTTGTGCATGATGCCCCAGACACCAGATTTGATGTTCTGGCGCACCTCCCGGTTGACCTGAGTGTCCATCCTGGTCGTGCCCAGCAGCTCCCCGACCTGCTCCTCACGCCGCTGCCTGGCCTCTTCCTGAAGCAGTGCGGTATGCTCATCGATTTGATCGCAAGTCCCCTCAAGACCATCGGGCTCCTTGATACCCTCAATCATCTCTCCCACCGTCTTGTACGAGTTCTTTGGCAGCAGCGTGAGCTGTAGGAGAATGATGGCAGCTGGCACGACCAAGTATGCCAGAAAGAAGCTCCTCAGGCCGAAGCCGGCCTCTGTGGCCTGGTATACAATCCGATAAATCAGGAAGACAGCGCTGGATGAGTCAAACGCGCCCGTCAAGAGGGCCAATATCAGGCCCGACCTGGGCAGCGCGTTGGACAGGTGGAACGAACCCATGTAGATGAAGGGGCCTCCCAGCGCAAGTCCAAGGTAGCCCGCGAGGTATCCGTCGAAAGGCAGCTGCTCGGCGTGGGCAAGGATAGCAGCTCCGCCGGCCAGGAAGAAACTGCCGAGCAGACCGCAGACGCGCGGGCCGGCGTGGTCAAGGATGGCGCCGATCGGGAGGGCGGCCACGTTTGTTGAGACGGCAGCGACGGTAAACATCAGGTTCATGCGTATCTCGACACACGTATCCTCGTCGAGGCCCTCGACAGATTCGCGGGAGCATACCTCCCGGTAAACCCCCTCGCCCTTAAGCACAGGCTTGATGGCCGCGTAGCCAACTTGAAGTGAGTGTTAGCATCGGAGCAGTACACTATGTCTATGAGGGAGACTTCAAGACTCACAGACAATGCCCGATGCGAAGACGCAGTAGAAAACAGCCGAGGCGATCTGCAAGATCCTCTTCCATCTAGGGACCTCAAAGGCACCGATGGCATCGGCCGGAGCAACGGGGTGAACGACATTTCCGTTGTTGTCGGGAACAACGAGAGGGTTGAAGGTGAGCTTTTGAGCTCGGGCAGAGAGCACCGAGGCGTCGGAGCCGCGCCGGGACCTCGTTACGGGATCACCGGGGACGAACTCGAACTCGCCGAGCGAGGAGACGCGGTTGAGAGACATATCTTTGGTCACCTTTTTCTTGCTCGGCCGTCTCGGTGAGAAGTGTCCCCCTAGAAGAGGCCCAAGCCAGCGCGGCCAGCAGGAGACTTTGACGCAACGGCTTCAGCGAAACCGGTCCCGTGTGGCGGCCACCTGCCCTCCAGCAGGGGTCAGTCAAGACAGGGAGACTTTGGGCGGTGGAGTGGATCTGGGCGTGGGCGGAGCTGCTGGAAATGGATGGACAAGCAGTGTTGGTTAAACTCAACCGTTTGGTCTTGCTACAGGGGCGTTCTGGCCCAGGAACAAGAGAAAAATAAGATAGATACAAAACCAAGGCCAGTCACAAGTAAATGATGAGAGAGAGTGAGAGAGAGAAGGAAGGCTCGCTTGCCCCTGAGGGCCTTTTCACAATCAAATACCCAGCCACCTACGACCGGCCGATGATCGACCTTCTTGTTCCCTGGAAGGACAAGCGTCTGCCTGTGTCGCCATCGAAGTGCAGAAGAGAAAGAAGAAAGAACGCAGTGGCTGGGCCTGGATGCCACCAAACCCCTCTCTGTCATCCCCACAGGTGACTTTTTTTTCTTCTTTTTTTTCGCCTTTGGCGATGACGCGCCGAGCCCATCCATCCAAAATTTGCGCCTCTGGCCGGCACCACATGATCTCTTGTGAAGCAGCCAATTGAGCCCCCTGGAGAGGAATGCCCGGCCTTGGTGCCACAGCTTGGCGAAGCGAGTCGACTGGCAGAGATCCCCGCAGATGCGCGTGCTCGCTGCATTGTGTTCAATAATGGCAGGCTGAATGGATGGCCGAATGCTACTGCACAATGTGTGCGTGCATTGTGTTCGTTATGTGCGTCAAACGTGCCTGTGAGCCGTGGCGAGCACTGTTGGGAGGCGGGACAGGCGGAAAACAATCAGTTGAACGGGAAGGTGGGTGGGGTGTGCACCATCCCTGTCGAGGCTCCCGCGTCAAGCCGTCTTGTCTCGCACAGACATGAGCGACGACATTCACAGACACAACTATTGAAAAGCCTGGCGGCTCCCCATCTCGACTCGACCATCCAGTAGATGCAGCAGAGACAGGCCACCGTCCAATGTTGATTAGCAGATGGATGGGGTGCATGGTTTAGAGCCCACCTCCTATTTATTGCCTTGCTAGTCCTGCGCGACGACGACGACTTGCAACACACACCAGACGTCACACTGCACCGCGCTGGCTTGGACGTTGAAAGGCTAGGCCGCCGGTTCGGAGCCGGGAAATGAGAGTGGTGTCGATGGAGCTGCTGACCTGGGGCCACTTTTGGCAGCGCGCGACATCTCTTTGGCCCGCCCAAGACCCAAAGGCAAATGTGCGTCGCCTCAATGGGCGCCGGCTCTGGTGCGGGCTGGCTTCAGGTTCATTTGCGCGTCCTCTTGGCTGGCTGTGGTTGGGCGCTTGTAGCATGACCGTCGTGCCGCTTCTCCTTTCGGGCCCAGCGTTCCTGCCCCTCCCGCCCTGGTGTGCCAGCACGGGTGGGAAGCTGTAAGCGCCCTCCTGGGGCCTGGGGACCAATCAATCGCCTCAGCGCCAGCAGCCAGCAGCCAGAAGCCGAGCAGTCACATCTCCCACCCCGGGACCTTGCGCGTCCCCCCGCCATGCTGCTGGTCGCCCGCCCGGTCGCAGCTAGAGGACGCAGGAGAGAGTAGCAAGCGTCAAGCAAGGCAAGTCATATCTTTTTTTTCTCCTTTGCTTTGTCCGGCCTCCTGCCGCCACCGTCCAGGACAGACAGACGCAAGGGGCTTCATTTCCTGCCTATCTTCCGCATCCCAGCACAGCCCTATCCTCCTTGTTCCTAGCGGTCTAGACTCCTTGCTGGCAGCTTGCGACGCAGCTCACCCACCCCGCAGCTGGGTTGGGCTGTTGATCCGCCGCCTTCCATCAACAACCCGCCCCTCCCTCCATCTTCCCACTTATTCCTTGTGCGCCGCCCCCGAATCTGCGGTCCTAGTGCCCGTTTTCTCGTCACTTGTCCCCAAAGGCTCCTATAAATAAATTCTCGCTCCTCCCGCCGTGCGTCATCGCGCGCGCGCCGTTCCTTCTCGTTGCCGTAACTGTACCTGCATTCGCCCAGAGACAGCAAGACACAGCCATGGAGAACCGCTCAAGAGGCATCTCGGAGGAGGAGCTCTTCCTGAGCCACCCCGCTCGCCAGGACGGCGACAGCCCGACCGTGGAGCCGTTGCGTATCTTCAAGCCACAGAGCCCCAAGCCCCAGGCCGATGCTTCGGGCCGTTTCAAGTACCCGCGGCCGCCCTCGCCGGCCTCGTCGTCTTCATCCCACCACTCCAAGCCGTCCTTCCCCCTGCCCCCGGGCGCATCGAGTTCTGCCGCGCCGCTGCCGTACCCTGACGACGAGGACTTGCGCCCGTCCAAGCCCTCGCATGCCCCACGCCCTCCCTACCCCTCGGACAGCGTGCGTAGACCCTCCAACAACAGGGTTCAGACGAGCAGTCCGGCCAACTCCGCCGGGAGCTACAACGACACCTCGCCGCGCCTGAATCTCAGCACAGGCGTCGAGAAGAAGCCCGGGCTTGCCGAGCGCCGCGGCACCGCACCAACAGCACTCTCGCCCACGAGTGATGATGGCGATAAGGACAATCTTTTTGCGCAGCCTATACCCCAGCCCAAGCCGCAGCAGGCGCAACAGGCCCAACCCAAGCCACACTATCCGCAACCAAAGATCTCTACTAGCTACCAGAACAAGCCGTACTATCCCTCACCTGCTGGTAGTTCCTCAAGCCCTGCCCCAGCCAACAATGTGAAGCGCCACGAGTCGCCCACAGACTCACTTGGCATGCCACAGGAAAGTAGCGTGAGCCGCTTCGCCTCGACGGCCTCCACATCGACCACCCGCGCTAGCCGGGGCTCACCTCCTCCTCCCGAAACCCCCGTCGTTGAGCCGGGTGTCCGTCCTGGCGATGGCATCGAGGCTCGGTACGCCGCCTCTGGCATTTCGGGCGCCGCTACCCTGACCGGTCTACAGGCTCAGCAGCTGCAGAGCTCAGCAGCGTCGCAACGCCTTGCCCAGTATGGCGGCCAGCCTCCTCCACAGCGCCCTTGGACGCCCACCGAGACCCCAGACCAGCAACCCCATGGACCTCCGACCGTCTATCAAGGGTCCGATCGGGTCAACGAGGCGCCTCAGCAGGCTACTGGCCCCGCACAGGCGAACCAGGGGCAGCAGGGAAGCCTTCAAGTTAGCATCTTGGAGCAGGACTTCGCTCGTATGCAAGCATCTACTCCTCCTCCAGCCTATACCAGTGTCAGCCTTGGAGGCAACTCGTACCCCAACGAGAAGCAGCGACCTGGAGCGCAGCAGCCAACGCCCAATGCCCAACAGCAGCAGCAGCAGCAGCAGCAGCAGCAATCACTGTCACAGCAGCAGAGCCAGCAGCAGAGCCAGCAGCAGAGCCAGCAGCAGAACCAGCAGCAACAGTACCACCACCAGCAACTACAACAGCAACAACAACAACAGCAGCAGCAGCAGCAACACCCTGCCTCATCTGTCGTGGGAACATCCGCTGCTGCTGCCATCGCTTTAGGGTCAAATGCTAGTGCTAGCACTGTGCACGCGCCTGTGGCCCAGAACCAGGAGAAGAAACAGCAACAGCAACAGCAGCAGCAGCAGTATGCGAACCCGCTCGCATCACCAGCTCTTCAGCATCCGGGCCACCCTGCGTTTGCGAACGACCCCAGGCCAGAGAGTAATGGACAGAACGGCCAACCATCCATCGCAATCTCTCACACACCTTCGGTGCTGCACGCGCAGAACCCGACGTCTCCTCCCCCACTGCCCGAAGGCTGGATCTCGCACCTCGACCAGAACTCAGGTCAATACTACTACATCCACCTTGTAACCCAGGCTACGCAGTGGGAGTTCCCCAAGGGCCCCAACCCGATCAATCATGAGACGGCGCCGCTGTCGCCAACTGCTTCGACTTATGGAAACCCGCTTGTCTCGCCCTTTGGCCCAAAGCAGGGGATGGGGTCTCCGGGCCTTTTCCCACCCCAGACGCCAGGCTACGCCGAGAGTATTATGAGTGTGGCGGCCTCGGCTGCCCCAACCGCGGGCTTTACGGGACCTCCGCCGAGCTCCGGTGTTGAAATCTTCAAGGTCGCGCCCACGAACGGAGTGTACTTCGGCCCCTATCTTCGTTATGTCAACATGGACGTCGAGCGGGGGGTTTGGCTGGGCAGCATCATGATTGTCACGGACGCGCCGCAGCCGCCCACTATTCATATCCATCTGAGCGTCGACCTGTCGCCCAACCCGCGCATGCTCAGCTCGCATCCTATTCACACCCATCAGCGCTGGACCTTTTACAAGTACGACCTGGATTTGCAGATGGGCGAGCAAGGGACCGAGCGCTGGACATATGCAGTTACTTCGCACCTGGGGTGCACGAGATATGAGTTTGTGGTGGCCGGGCGCCAGGAGCCTAGCTGGCGGTTCATCGCGCACTCGGGCAACGACTTTGCCGCATCGACATCGCAGAACGACAGGGCCAAGCTCGGGGGTGTTGGCTTCATGTGGAAGGATGTGCTGCAGCGGAACGTCGACTGCGGCGGTTTCCACGTCCAACTCGGCCTTGGTGACCAGATATACGGTGATAGACTTTGGAAAGATGTGCCGCTGCTCAAGCAGTGGCTCTCGCTACAGGGGAGAGAGAACCGCAAGACGGCGCAATGGACGGCGCGTCACGAAGAGGACGTCACCCACGCCTACTTCCACTACTACACCTCGCACTTTGACCAGCCATTCCTCAGAGAGGCGTTTGCTCAGATTCCTCACATTCTGCAGCTTGATGACCATGATATGTGAGTCCCCGCACGCCTTTTATCCTTCTCCACTATCTGCTACGCTCTACGCGGCGACACTGACGCTTTATCTCGCTTTCTGTCCACAGCTTCGACGGGTTTGGGTCATATCCAGACTACATGCAATCGTCGCAGATTTTCAAAAACATCGGCAGAGTAGCCATCGAGATGTACCTGCTTTTCCAGCACCACACAACCGTGGAGATCATGCGCAATGTCAACACCGACATTGACCTGTTCACCGTCTCGGGCGCCGGATGGCACTTTGTCAAACATCTGGGACCCGCCGTGGTGGTCGTCGGTGCCGATCTAAGGTCGGAGCGGACACAATCTCGCGTCATGGCCGGGCCGACATACCAGGGCATCTTCCCCAAGGTGGCCATGCTGCCGCCCAGCGTGCAGCACTGCATTTGGATGCTGTCAGTGCCCCCAGTCTACCCGAGGCTCGATACGGTGGAGAGCCTAGCCAATACCTTTGCGACGAGCAAGAAGGCGGTCAACGCGACGTACAACATCGTCGGCAAGTTGACGAGCTCGGTTGCCGGTGTGGTGGGCGGCAAGGAGGTTGTGCAACATGGCTTCACACACGTCAAGAAGGCTGTAGGGAAGTCGGGCCTCATGGGCAACGTGCTCAACCAGTTTGGTGACTTCGATTTTGCCGAGGAGCTCAAGGACCTGTGGACGCACGAGACCAAGGACCTTGAGCGCACATACCTTATCCGGACGCTGCAGGGAATCTCGCAGCAGAAGGGCATCAGGATGACTTTTCTTTCGGGAGGTAAGTTTCAAGCACGGCGGTGAGCTCCCCGACCTGTCGTGACCACATGAGACTAACCAACCGGAACCCTATGCTCAATAGACGTCAACTGCTGCGGAGCAGGCTTGGTACACGACCCATCGCACCCAAGCGACCACAAGACAATGTACCAAATCATCACGTCACCCATCGTGGCGGCGCCGGCCAGAGACTACATTCTCAAGATGCTCCACAACTCCAACAAGATGCTGTACGTTCCCATGAACGGGCAAAAGTCGACGGGCGAGGTGTCGGACACCAAGGAGGACATGATGGAGATCTTCCAGGTGGACGCAAACGGAACGTCGCGCGAGCTCAAGAAGCTCATGGGCCGGCGCAACTATGTTGCCATTGTCGCCTACGATCCAGAGTCCATCCCGGGGACCCAGTACGCCGCCAGCATCATGAACGGCGGCCAGCCCCAGCAGCAGCAGGGCCTGTCAAAACTCAGCCTCGCCGTCGACTTTGTCGTCCAGGGCGACAGCAACTTCAACTCGGCGCCCACCAAATATGGGCCCGTCATTGTCCCGCACCTCGAGTACGGCCACTAAAGTACATGGCCAAGCAGCATGTCTCCTGTCCGCCTGTCTATCTGTCGTTTTCTATTCCGGGCACCGATTCCTTACATATGTCTCTTCTCCGACACTATTGTTTCCCCTCGTCTCTACTTCCTCGGTCGGATAGCAGCTCGACGGTCACATTTTTCGTGCGCATCCCTTTGTCATAGCGCGCGGTCGCCTTCCATCCATGTGCCGTATATATCCCATTTACATCCTGCCAATTTATGCCCTGCTATGCCCCTGTATTCTCCCCCACGCCGCTTGGATTGTTTCCAATGTCTTGTCATGTCAGATTCTTGTAGCTAGAAGTGATTTAGCGAGGCGGAATTATACCTGCGTTTGGCTCTTTTATAAGTAACTTAGTTTATGACCAGCCAGTCTATTATTGGCCCTCGCATCATTCAAGTCCTCGGCGCTGTCCTTGTGAAAATAGTATTTAGCTCCAATCTTTCGGTCTTGTTATCTCCTTTCACGTGATAACCCGAGATATAGAGCACCAATTTCGAAACTGGTCCAATTCTTTGTTGGCGCCTTATCAAACTCCATCTAGGGTAACAGCAACACCCATGTATATCTCGAAGTCTTCCTCCGCATACAAGTTTACTTTTGTCTTTACTCTTTTTTTTTGGAGCCTTTACCTTCCAAATCCCGCTTCAGGGTCGCAGCGAGTGTTCCGCACACACTAATCACGCACCAGATTCCGTCGTGAAATAGCGTCTTTGTTCTCTTTTTTTTGTTTCTATTGTGTGATTACTCTCTTCTCGCAAGGCCCTTCACACTCACAGGTCGAACAGCTTCTTGAGCTCGGCCATGGTGTCGTCGGGCGAGGTGACGGTGTGGCCGATGGTCCTCGGGTCCTCGAAGATCTCGTAGTCGTTGCCGCCGGGCATGGTCTTGTCGCCGAAGAAGTGGATGGTCTTGTAGGTGATGCCGCCGGGCTTCTTGGCCTCATCCTCGAGGTGGTTCAGGCAGTAGGTCTTGTCCCAGCCCTTGGGGAAGACGTCGAAGGAGATCTCGCCGCCGATGGAGAAGCTGTTGTTTGTTTTTATCGAGGGTTAGTGTAAGTCAGGGTTCATGGCTGCTTCGTTATATAACGGAGTGATGGGGACAGAGATTGCATTGGTGAGGGAAAAAATGGACTACTCACGTCAGGCCAAAGTGACCAAACTTCTCCTTGAGCACCTCAACAAACTTTGCGCGGACCTTGTGCACGTCGTCGTAGGCGAGGAAGTCCTTGCGCTCCTGGTGCGAGGCGTTGCGGCCGACGGGCGAGACGTTGATCATGCCGTTGCGGAACTCGATAAAGGTGCCGCGCTTGACGGGGATGTCGAGGTCGGCGATGTAGTGCAGCACAAAGCTGGCCAGCTGCCTGTACCTGTCCTCGCCGATCCAGCCGATGAAGCTCGTCGACGGCAGCGGCTCGCCGCTCTTGAAGGCCGTCAGGCCGTTCTCGGGGAAGGCAAAGTCGAAGAGCGACGTGACGTCGACGCTGGCCGAGCCCAGCTGCTCCTGCTGCTTGGGCAGGTTGGAGCCGCCGACGAAGCCGATGGCGCACTTTTGCCGCAGCCGCGCGAGCATGTCGAGCACCTCGGGCGTCACGTCCTGCCGCGCCGGCGTGAGGGTGCCGTCGACGTCGAACAGGCAGATGGTGTCCTTGAGCGGACGCTGGTCGAGGGCCGGGTACGCCATTTTTTGCTTTTGTTTTTTCTTTTTGGATTTGTCGACCGGGAGGGGATGCGATCGGAGGGGTTTGAAGGAGGAGGCAAAAAAGTCTTTTGGGGGCTGCTGTCCGTTGTCTTTTTTTCAAGTGTTGGGGAGCACAGCGCGGGGACGAGGCGGTAAGAGTCGGAGCTTTTGGCGATGTAGATGGATACAACAACGACCCCGACCTGAGTAATGGACCCGCAAGGCTGCTTCCTCGTCCAATTCAATGCATTTCCCATGCAGCCATACCAAGCTCAAGCTCCAACCCACCAGACCCGTTGTTTGAGCTCCAACGCTGCACCAACGAGAGTGCCCTCACAACGGCACGAGTTTCAGCGGTTGGATGGTAAAGAGCCCCACCCCCGCCAGGAGGAACCACAGGCGGAGCTCAACCACAGCTGGCTGCTGCACGCTTGGCTCTGTCCCACCAGCACCCGTCTGAGACTCCAAAGATGGTGTTGAGATCTATCGGCCCGAGCCAGTCGTTCATACACACCATCAGATCAAATGCCATAGAATTGTACGGATTCATTTGTTTGAAAATCCTTGTTCCAACGCTTCCATCCTACACATGGAGGATGCCTTCGGCACCTGTTGGCGATTCAGCAGCCGAGCGCTGGGTATCGCCCCGCTTGTTGTAGAGGTACCAGGTAGAGGTAGGTAGGGGTAGGTACAAAGGCAGCGAGCTTGGTAGTAGGTAGGTATGTACTAGGTAGGTATATCCCAGTTGCATATGAATACCAATGCATTATGAACAATGATTCAATCTTGTATCCTGGAGAACCCGACAGCCGACAGCTACTTGGCAGTGCCCTCGACTGACCCATCATCGGGCGCCTTGGGCAATCTCTGTCCAAGCCCCAGCCATCTCGACAATCAAATTGATCATGGTGCTGATGCTCCAGATCCCTATCAGGCTGAAGCCGATCTTCCTGCTCATGATCCAGTTGTTGGTCGGAACGGCGACGAGCAAAAAGACCAGAGTCAGAAGCACGGTAAAGGCCGACACAATCAGCGTGCCCCCGACTTGGACGTGGTACGGCTTGTACGTCAGTGGTATGTCTGGGTGCTTGCCGTGGCTCTCGTTGGCCGCCTTGATGGTCATCCAGGCGCCCCCTATTCCAATCCCCAGAAGAATATTGAGCATCGGCCCGCCGAAGCACGCAGATCTGTATTGTTTCACACCAGTCAGCCCAAGCACAGCCAGATAGAGTAGGGTACGGGTGCTGTCCGCTTACAGTGCCATCACCGGGTAGCCAAGTCGCGCGACCGTGATGTCGGCGACAAGGTCGCCCAGAGAGTTTCCGACAGCAAATATGGTCAGTCCGAGGATCGCCTCGGAGATACCCAGGACGACACCAAGCGTCTTGAGCACCCCAACAACCTCGCCTGCTATCGTCGAGATCCATGCCACGCTAATGATGAATCCGAGAAAGCAGAACAGGAAGTGGTAGCGGGGCCGCACATCGGGCGACGTTGTCGAGAGCATGACCGCCAGGAGTACAAGAGAGAGTACCAGCGAGCAGAGGAGCATTTTTACCAGCACCTTGCCGGGATGCTCCAAGTCCTCCAGCATATTGGCCCACACAATCAGCACCGTGAACAGAGGCCCAGTGAAGAGTTGTACGCACACCAGCCAACGGCTCCACCCCAAGCTGTCGTCGCTTTCCAGCGTGTCGCTACCAGAAGTCAGTCGTGGGGAGTGCTGATCCCTCTTGGCCACTTGTGGCGAGAGCGCAGTGCCTCCCACCCCGCTGGCAGAGCCTACATCAGGCACCACAAGCAAGGGTGGCCCAAGCCCGGATGAGATTAGGGGGGTTGTGTGTCTAGACGGACGTGCGTCACGGCTGTTGCGTCGATACCGCTCCCACTCCGTCTCGGGCTCGACTGACGCGCGGCGCCCCATCGAGTCAGCGTCAGCAGCCAGGCCCGACCCTCCGAGGCGGGACCGGTCAGCGGCTAGGTCGGCTTCGGGGTCATTCATGCCCGGAACATCGCTTTCAACCACGGGCAGTGTGATGACCAGCAAGAAGATGCTTGGTATAGAAATCAGACTGGCGAACTTGTCCCAGATAGACTTGTCTGCCCAGCCCTGGAGAGTGGGGAAGAGCGAGTTGCTCATGACCTGGGGAGGAGGAAGCACCGAATAAGGCCACCACCGGACAGGCTTGCAGCGGCGCTCCTGGACCTCGAGGCCAAAGTAGCCCCCATTGTCCATATAGGGAGAAGCCTGAGCAGTGATCAGGGGCGAGTGCGCGTTGGGAGACATGAGCATCGGCGACTCGGACAGCATGGGGAACGCTGATAGTGAAGGCGATGAATAGCCACTCGACTGCGGCTGGGGGCTTGGAATCTGGAGACTGAGGCTGGCCGGCGACGCTACCGCAGTGCTCTCGGGTGTATGAGCCTCGGCATCATAGGTAGGCGGGCGCAGGTGCATGTCGATGGGCGGCGGCGCGAGGGCGCCATCCTTGGTGACGCCCGACGGGCCAGGTTCCAGGGGCGCCTCCCCACCCAACCGCAGGCCGTTTTCTGGAGGAGATCGGGGGCTTGTGGGCGACTCCATCACTATTGCAGGCGCAGCGGGAAAACTCCAGTCCAGTGGGAGGTTACCGTGGGACCGAGCCCTGTCTCTCCCCGCTGAGGAGTTGCCATCGCGCGGGAGCGACGGCCAATCGAAGCCGGCCGGCTCCTCCAGCACCAGTCGGGCAACAGATGCCGGGTCTATGTTCTCCGAATTCCCCCTGGAATGCATCGGCGCCAGCGGCACGTTGCCCGACGTGCTGCCTGCCCTTTGCAGTGACGCGAGCACTGACCGAAACTCGAGCGCGCCGACGAAACTCGGCCTGATCTGGCCCAGAGTAGTATTACTCCTCGAGCCGCGGGGCCGGTTGACACGCATGCTGTTGGTCACCTCAGCGGCCACCTGCATATCCCGATCGATGTCATCCTCATCCTCGGGGGCGCCGACATCACCGACCGCTATCCGCGGCGTGGCGCGTTCGAGGACGCTAATGTCAGGCATGGCATCCGAGGCAGCACGGCTCGCGCGTGCGCCTACGGGGGCCGCGTCGTCTCCATCGTCGTCTCCGTCGTCGTCCCTGTAGGGCTCGAGCTCGTCCGAAGGCTCACCAGTGGTCCCGAAAAAGTGTGCACGGGCGGTCGCCTCCCTCTGCCGCCTCCTCTTGCGGCGTGTCGAGAACCAGTGCCAGGTAACTACCATGACGACATAGAAGAGGTAAAACGAAACCATAACGCAGCATTCCCAGAGGTGGAGCTTGCCATCGGCAAGGAAGACCATGGAGAAAGTTACGGCGAAGATGAAGAAGCAAACGTCGCGCACAAATGTCCGCTTGGTGACCTTGAACTCGCGCACCAAAGCCATAGAACCGGCAACGACGGCGGTGATAAAGCCGGCGGCGCCGATCAGTTCGCCGACGGCCATGCTACCGCTATTGGAGCCCATGGCCGCGAAGGTGCTGAAGACGTCCGGGGAGCCATTGCCAAAGGCCAAAAAGGTGACGCCGGCAAGGCTTTCGCTGAGGCCCAGGATGTTGGCGATAGTACTGAGGTTAACGCTGAAAAAGTCGCTTGCGGCGATGCCGATGGTGGTGAAGAGCAGGCCCAGCCAGGCGGTGAGCAGAGCAAAGGCGAAGGCTTGGGCGTGCGCCAGGTCGCAATAGTACAAGCCGAGATAGGACAACAGACCGGCCTCGTCGTCTTTGCAGTGCGCACGCACGAAGGCGCACTTGTCCTTGGCAAGGTAGACAAGCCGGCACTCAGTATTCTCGGCCCGGGCGCGAAGCGGCGACAACTGGTGCGAGCCGGACACACCGGCCCGGCGCACAAACAGCGCATACGCCGCGAGCAGAGTGATGATCAGGGTCGAGGTATAAAAGGGCCTGCTCAGCCTCGAGCCAAGCTTGGCCCTGCTTGGCCTTGGCCGGCGCGACAACGGCGCAGCCATGATGACGGCAGCAGTACTGGTGATGATTGTAGGTGGGGGCGACTTCTCGTCACGGGATCCATGTGCGTCGCCGAGCTCGTCGATGTTCTGTTCCTGCAGCCCTCGGCGGTTTGGGAAAGCATGATGTCAGGTCATCACGGACCTTGGGGGCGCGCGCTGTTGGATGGAGTCTTGGCAGACAAAAGCTGGCAGACAAGAGCAGGCAGATGGATGGGAGCACAGGTTGGAGAGAGGAAAGAAGGACGTGATGAGCCGTGTTCTTGAAGGGGGCAGTGGAAGACTTGGCGCCCAGGAACCCGCACTCGGCGTTGAGAGGCAAGGCGGCCAAGACAAGATAAGGTCGCTGAGAAGCTGAGAAGCTGAGAAGGCTGTTGTAAGATGCCGTTTTCGGTTTGTGAGGACAACAGATCAACAGGGGCTGGAGAAGTAGCGGTGGATGCACGACTTGGTGGCCTCCGACAGGAGGTGTTCGAGTCGCAAGCTCTGACTCGGGCCAGTTCACGTTTAAATACGGGACGGACGCTGCCGCATCAACGAACTCTGCAGAGCTTGCGCCTTCTCAGGAGCTGTGACGGGTGGCCAGCACGCGACACCGACAGCAGGCCAGAGCTCTGCAGCAGGTCGAGCCGAGACGTCGGGTTTCAAAAGGGGCGGGGGCCACACAGCCAGCGACGAGGTGGCGGTGGGAGGGTTGCGAGGAGCGATAGGGAACCAAGGAAGTCAAAAAGAAAGACGGCGCTGTACCTGGAACGTTGGACAGCCAGTTTGGGCTTTGGGCCCGTCCGTCCTTTATCTGCCAGTAGCTTCTCCGACGGGAGCATGCTCCAGACCATGTCGGTGCGAGCAACCACCCGGTTCGACATCTGTTCTAACCTAATTGATCGTTGACTCCAACGCTGGTCTCCCGCGTCCCAACCACTCACGATGCCCGGAAAAAAAACCGGACTGCAAATGTTTTTCCCCACCCAAACTCTACCTTTCCCAACACAATTGCACCAGCACCACAACCGAAAAATATGCCCGCGCACCACTTTACACCGAAAAAAATACGCATTTAAAGGATTTGTAATTATTTTAATGCAAAAAGCATTACTTATAGCCACAATAACGTTTTTTGCTTTATTAAAGTATCAAAAACTGTTAGGTAAAAAATTTTAGCCCAAAATTGCAATTTCAACCTTTAAACTTTTTATTTAATTTATAAAAAAACATGCGGGCGCAAACGTTTATTTTCCGAAACCGATATCCAAAAAATGGAATAAGCAATTGTTAATAACGGGTGGGATGGCCGGAATTTTAATTAGGCTTTCCTTCCAAATGCGGCCGGCCTTAATATCCAAGCTTCCGTTAATACAATTTGCATTACAATAAAAAAAGCTGGCTTTCAAATGTGCCTGGCTTGCCAAAAAAGCTACGTGCTTTTACGCCTGGCGCAACAACGAATTAAATACGCCAAAGTAATGTTTAAAAAATATTTTGGGCCCCAAAATTAGCGGCACTTTCGCTTTTCCAACGAAACTTACTTCGGTTGGGGGGCTAAAGGACGTTTTTACGTTATTCGCCGGCCTTGGAAAAGAAATTGCCCAAATTGCGTGCAAAAAAAAAAGCCCCTTTAAAAAAGATGTTCGTTGGGTGCATGCTTAAGCCGCTATTGGATATAGCTTTAAAAGCCTTTTTGTTTGGTACGATACTAGCATTACCAACGGGAAAATGACCCTGCGTGCATATCGGGACGAGATTCTAAAGCTTATAATAAGTTCCTAGCTACGGAACGGCCAGAACTTTATCCTTAAAAAGGATAATGATTTTGGGCATGGAAAAAGCAAAAGTAATATTGTTAGGACCTGGAAAAAAAAGCACAATTTCCGGCATTACTTTAACTGCACGCATTCCCTTAATATCCCTTTTATTGAAAAGGCCTGGCAGGCCTTTAAAGCCGCTATAAGGAAATTGGCTATTTAGGATAATAATTTGCTAAAAAGCATTGCAAAGAAGGGCTGGAATAACCTTTCCCAGGCCCGGATTAATGCGTGGGTGGACGAAATACCAGATATTTTATAGAGGATCATAAATGCAAAGGGTAAAATGATTGCAGATTGAATGGGCTACTGTATTTGTGGTGGTGGGGAATAAATTTTGCAGTCCGGTTTTTTTTCCGGGCATCGTGCCACTCCAGCCAACCCCAGGTTAAAAGCCCAAAATGACAAGTGGCAAGTGGCGTCGACGTCAGTGTGGCTGTAGCCCCACCCTGCCAGTGTCACATCAATCGTGATGTGGCGCTGTATTCGGGCAGGGGTGCTGGCGGAAACCGCCGCTGGCTGAGCCAATTCGATGTTTTGTTTACTTTGAGGCAGGGACCAACGGGCAACTAAAAAACCCGCGACCGCCACAAACCCCGCCCTTGCATGACAGCCAGCGCGAACGATAGAGACAGTGAAAGAACAGACAAAACATCAAATACTACGGTACAGCAGGACTGCGAGCACCGCCGATGCGATAAACCGCCCCGTCACCGCCATTCCCCCTGTCGCTCGACGATACAGCCACCAAAATGCCCCGCGTCACGCAGGTGTCGCGCAGCAGCAGCAGGCGGAGCACCAGCAGGCAGGTCTCCGGGTCCATCTCACAGTCTCCTTTCAAGTCGCCCGTAAAGTGAGACCACTCCTCTTCCGCATGCGAACCCAGAGTGTGCCGCCCCGTGCGCACGCGGCCAGGGACCAGCCGGCTAACCCATCGACTTGCAGGATCCCCCTCAATGACGATGCGCAGGAGAAGGCCCAGCGCATGCACTCGCGCCAGGCCCTCCATGAAGCCCAGATCAACCAGCTCAAGGCCGCCGCCGCGACGCCCTCGAAGCGGTCTGTCAGCATCAGGCTGGAGGACCTCGAGAATGTCAACTCCTCGCCCGGCTCCGACCCTCGCACTCCCCGCTCCCGCGCCAGCGCCGGCGGTAAAGATTCAACCATCATCGATGACGACGGCTTCGTGGTCGGCGGCAGCGCCGTCACGCCCATGAAGCGTGTCCCCATTCTGGCCAACTTCGAGGAATGGATGAAGATGGCCACCGACAACAAGATCAACCAGGCCAACTCGTGGAACTTTGCCCTGATCGACTACTTCCACGACATGTCGCTGCTCAAAGAGGGTGATGGCGTCAACTTCCAGAAGGCAAGCTGCACCCTCGACGGATGCGTCAAGATCTACACCAGCAGAGTCGACAGCGTCGCAGAGGAGACCGGAAAGCTCCTCAGTGGCCTCGCAGACAGCCGCGACAGCAAAAACAAGAGGGCCGAGGGTGACGCCGAAGACAGCGGGGCAGAAGACGAGGTTGATGAGGACGGCAACGTTATCAAGAAGCCCAAGAAGAAGGTACGCGGTGACACCCAGCCAAGAAGTGACTCAAAAACTGACTTGCCCCTCCTCATACGGACAGGCGCGATCGGCCGAGGCGACCCTTGCGCCTTCCTTCGCGTCTCTTCAGCTGAAAAAGCTCGAGCTCGAGTTTGCCGTGGACCCCTTGTTCAAAAAGGCATCAGCCGACTTCGACGAGGGTGGTGCCAAGGGACTGCTACTTAATCACCTGATGATCGACACCCATGGTCGTATCGTTTTTGACAGCAGCGACGACAAAAACGACACCAGCGAGGCCAGGAGAGACGAGACAGAGGACGAAGGTGACGACACTGCACTAGGTGCCGAGGAGGCTGTTGAAGTCGGGTCCGCCGCCGCCGCCCCTGCCAAAGAAGACGACTATGAGGACGTCGACATCGATGTTGGCGCGCTGGGCGCGCGCTTCTTTCCCGAGCTCGGCCGCCTCGACGAATTCGATGTTTGCCCTTCACTCAAAACATTCGATCTCGGAGACCCTACTGGCACCATGGACATCCCCTTTCTCCGCGCACCCGACGACTGGAGACAAGACTCAGACAAGGATAAGACCCCCGGCCCTGACGGAGCGGGAGACAAGTCTGGCATGTACATCGACGACGACAACCCGCTTGGGTTCGACGACGACGAAGGCCTTGGCGGTTTTGACCTGAACGAGGTCAACATCAATTTTGGCGAGGGCGGCGAGGCTTGGGCGCGGGAGGCAGCATTGGAGCCCCAGATGCGTGTCTTTGACGCTGGCCTCGGCGACGACGGCGCCGGCGGGGATGGTGTCGATATGCTCGACAAGGCCGAGGGTGATTTTGTCGTGTCCATGTCACACGCCCAAAAGGAGGACAAGGTGCATGAGGACATACTCAGCTACTTCGACCAGGCGCTTCAGAAGAACTGGACCAGCGCCGAGCATTGGAGGATCCGCAAGATCAAGGACGTCAACAAGCCGGCCGCTCCGGCACGGCAGCGGAAGGAGAAGGAGGCCTTCGAGATCGATTTTCTGTCACCGCTCGACCCTGCTCTCGGCGACGTAATCTACACACAAGCGTCGGGCAATTCGGCCATCTCGATGCCAAAGAAGGACTGGAAGTCCAAATCGCGTAACCTCATCCCCGACGACAAACACTTCAACTCCAAACAGCTACTGTCCCTTTTCCTCAAACCCAAAGCGCGCCTCGGCCGCAAGCGGAGGCTTGGCGGCGGCGGCGGTGGCGTGTTCGGAAACGCGCACGAGGAGCAGCAAAACGACGTGCCCGACGGCCACATGGACGAGGCGTTCTGGGCGTCCCAAAAAGCGCCACTGATGCAATCCACAGAGCGCCCAGGCGACGACACGGGGCTGCCGCAGGGCGACTACGACGCCAACTTCTTCGACGACGGTCTTCCCTTCGCCGGCGGAGACGACGACGAAATGGACGAATTTGCCGACGCTCGCGAGCACTTCTCGCCCGGTGTCGACGGGGCCATGATGGGCGACCCAGGAGTTACGGACGCCTTTGGGACCGCCTTCAACGGCCTGACGGTTACGAATCCGGCCGACCTGGCGTTTGGCACCATGTTGGTAACGCAGAGCAGGCGGGTGCGGCCCGAGTATGTGCAATATGCACGAGTCGCCAAAAAGGTCGACGTCAGGAGGTTGAAGGAGGAGATGTGGAAGGGCATGGGCCTTGAGGCATTGGACAACGTAACTAACCCTTTCCCCCCCGCACGCCCCTTGTCGCGTTATAACTCCACGACGAGCGTTGCTAACGACTCTTGTTTGCGTGGCAAAACACAGGCCCCTGACAGATCTAGATTGCTGACGCCGCCTCCCGACGCTGCCGAAGCCGCTGGGGCTGCTGGTCCTGCCAAGGAGGAGCCGACACTGAAGTTCACGGATGTGATGAATAACCTGCAGAAGGTGTATCCCAAGACGGTTATGGATGACATCTCGACGAGCTACTGCTTCATCTGCGTCCTGCATCTAGCAAACGAAAAGGGCCTCATCATCGAGAAGACCGAGGACCTTTCGGAGCTGGAGATTCGCAAGGACTGGACGGCAGAGATAACAGAGGGCGGCGAGTGAACGAGTAAGAGCCGGCATTTTACACCTTGCCATATGGCCATGACTTGACTTGGATATGGTCAACGTCGCCAGATACGACGCATGGGCACTGAAATCAGTATGAATGATGAGATTCGGGATGCGCGTTTTGGTCCCTTGGTTGCTCTTCTCTACCTCTCCTTAGTATATCGACCGAGATACCCTCTCCTGTATCAACGGGTAGTTTGATGGTATTTTGTCCCAGGAGCTTGTTTGCCTTGATTTCGAGCGTACTGACCGACCCTGTCGAGGACGCTGGACTTGAGTTTGCCGGCTTCCCGTCAACAAGTCCTTGTATCGCCTTTGGTTCTTTCTCTTGATAATCAAGGATCTGATGCCTTGTAACATCGTGGCTCCTGTGGCCACGATGGCAATCTTGTTTTCGTATTTCCTTGTTTTTTCCTTGGTCCCTGTTTTCCTGTTTAATGCCCCTGAACAGTGCTAGTTGCAACCATCACGTGCATACCACGAGCCATAACAGTAGAGGCCGATTTCCCAAGGGGGTCATTTTCTATTCCGTAGGCCCTGGGCCTCGCCAGTCCCGAGCGAGGACTGCTTGTCTAAAAAATATGATCAGAAACCACGGCGACGCAGGCTCATGGAGCGGGGCGCCGCGAGCAGCAAGGCAGCAAGGCCAGGCGAGGCCGCAAGTGTTGCAGGTGTAGCAACCGCTTCTATTTCTTGTTCCCTTCGTCCTTGGGCTCGGGGTCGGGCTGGGGCTCTTGAGTCTGCGGTGGTGCTTCAGTCGCATCGATGGCCTTGATGACCTCGGGGTCGAGACCAGCTAGTATCTCATCCAGCCTCGCCTCCAGTTTGGAGAGATCATCCTCCAGCGAGGAAGCGGCTTTCTCGCCTCTGGGAAAGTAGAAACCAAAATCAATGGTAGAGAAGTTAGCCATAGCCAAGGAACCAAGCCAACTTTGAATTCCAAGATGCCCAGGAAATAAGAGGTAGTCGGAATAGCCCGCATCTCGTCCGCTTTGCTGTGAGGCCCGACACTTGATAAACTTGGAACAAAAAAAACTGGACACCCATGCGGGCCATTACGTAGCGAAGTCCACACGTGTCGTGAGCGAGAGCAGAGGCAGCAGCCGGCAAGCCAATCCATGCGGGACGCAGACACGACACACACACACGGGCTTTTCTGGCGTGACTCCCCACTCATCCGAGCCACGAGGGAGGTCCCGTCCCAGCAAGGGTGGCAACGAGATTGGTGGCAAGGAGGGATGAGCGCCAGCGGCCGCCCCTCTTCAGCTGGGGGAGTGGGTGCGAGAGGGCTGGTGGATCCGGAAAAGAAAATGAGGGGAGAAACGGAACAGAGCGGGAGAGACGATAAGGGAGAAAGAAAGGAAGATGGAAAAGTCAGGGTCCGGAAATGTGGCACCTGCACACACACACCCCTAGTCGGCGGGATATCGGCAGGGGTGATGGGGATGGAAGTGTTACAAAATTTACAAAATGGTGCCATTCTGACTTTGCTATGCGCCACGGATGGGGAAAGGCTAAATGGAGAGGGCGGGTGGGTCCCCTCCGGGAGCGCGCCTACCTATCAAGATCTTTCAAGGCCTGATGATTGGGGGTTCAGGGCCGGACCACAGGGCAGGGTTATTGCTGAGGTGGTTAGCCTCCAAAGAGCACAGGCTCAATAGCGGTAGCAGGTACGGGCCTGCTTTTTGCCCGCAGCTGCACGCTGCAAATTGCAGATGGCGCATCAACTCGAGAGTTTTGCCCGCAATGTACGCACCTTGGCCAGCTCCGACTCGATGGCCCTTGCGGCCAGGGGAGAATCGTCCTGGCTTGGCGTCGAAGAACCGTTGCCCTTTTGCGGAGATTGGGCGTCGGAGGACGAGGAGCCTGCTGCCATTGAAGCTGTCGAAAAGGAAAGGGGGTGGGAGGCTGTCGCGGGGTTGTGTCTTGTGAGCAAGCGAGGTCAGGATGGGGTCGCGGGCGGTATTCCTTTCTTGGTCCTTGAGGAACTCAAGCCGTGCTTGTTAGTCATCTACATATTGCTTGGGCGTTTCCGACTTGCCCCGCGGCCAATTCAATCGTGTGGAATCAACAGGGAAGGCCCACCGGCCTTCAATCGACCCCCCCTTTTATCATCCTATGTCCAAATTCGGGAGCGAGCGCTTGGACGACCCATGTTCGAGCATGGCCCTTTACTTCCCAATTTGCGCAGAACGGGCAGCGACGGCCTCGACGGTGTGAAGGATAGCCTGTGCTCAGACAGATCATAAAGCATCCATATGCCTCTCTCAGCTACGAGACATGAAAAAAGGACGGCCGATCAATGTCTGGCAGATCGCATATCCTGCTGCGGTCAAGGGGCGTCGAATCCGCGCCCAGCGCCACAGGACCCGCCAATTAGAAAGCTGCCATCCATTAGACCTCGTGTGCTTTTGTCGACGAACACAACCAGCGTGCGAAACCCGCCGGCTAGGTCCCGCCAGCTATCCGTGCCAAGTTTCTTGACACGTTCTTCTATCCAAAGTTCACGGTTACTGCCTATGCATAAATGGTATCCGGCGGCGCATCCCACTAGCCCGCTGACTTCCCCCAACGCTCTTTCTTTCCTTTGTGTGCTCGCTAGGCGCACGTCTTTTTGGAGGACGCTGGAGTTTAGCGTGGCGCGGCGAACCATGTGCGGCAGAGCGGCAGACGATGCAGGGGAGGGGTGGGTTTACAAGAGCCACGCCCGGTGCGGATTCCATTTCCTCGACCAGGTCCAGGGATTCTGGGCCTACGGTGGATCAACCAGCAAGTCGTACGATACTCGCAGCCATGTCACAGGGGTTGGTAGGGTTGGTATCAAGACTGGAGTGTGGGGCTAAAAGAAGCGCCCAAGCCCCAAAGTCTCTCCATGCCTTTTGGAGCAAAGCGAACGGCCTCAACCAAACGCCGGCAGAAGAAACACCCAATGAGTACGTATCTTCTTGCAAGCAGCGGGATTGTGCTGGTGAAGCCTTGTCCTCGGCACGGGGATGTTGTTCTGCACACACGCCGAGTCGCGAATCTTCTACAACGTAACATTTGAATGTGGCAGAAATATCAAAGTGAGGAGGGAAGGGGCGGCGGAAAAAAAAAATGAGTGCGCGTCCACACAAGCCATGTCGTGCGCTATCCTTTCTGTGCAACTGGTGGCACCAATGGCCACTTTTGGCCAAGCATCGACAATGATTGGATTCTTGGCCCCATGAGTCGTGATGCCAAAGCCGTCATCAGCTCAGCTGAACCCGAGACCTAGACCATGAAAGGCCAAGCCCAGGTCCCCCCTCTGGTCAGCCAGCTATACACGTAGGCTACTATACGAGAGGCAGCGGCAATGCACACTCAGCAAATATGGTAGGCGTTGGAAAGAGAAACACGTCCTCTCTTTAAAATTGACTGGTGGGCCTTCGGACTTCGGCTTCTTTGACGTCACCGCGAGAGCTGCGCGCAGTAGGGCGCAGTGCAGTCGTTTCTTACAGACGACATGCAATCCCATCAGTTCTCATAGGGCAGGCCTGCAGGGAGGGGGTGGGGTGAGGACAGAGGACGAAATTCTATCGGTCCAAGGTACTGTGCTTTTGATGCACATAAAAAGTAGCATCGAGGGGGGAGGCAATTTTTCGGCTAATGATACAGCTATTACCCAAACGGAGGCTCTCCTGCAGGCTGCGGGCTTGCTGCGAAATCTCAGAGGGACCTGCCGAGGCGAAGGAAGAGCTACCAGATGTCAAAAGGGGACGGACGGCAATGGGAAGCGGAAGGGAGGGGGACGATAACATCAACCAAGAATGCAGATAGAATTTGTTGGCGGCGGCATGGCAAAGGATCGCCAGTGACTTGATCTCGAGGTAAAAAGTCGATTCGGCCGTCGAAATTTGCATCTTGATGAGCAGCACCTATTATCGTGCGTGTCCGTCAATAAGGCATTTTTCTCTTTCCGAGCCTGGCAGATGGAACAAATAGAAGCAGCAGCAGGAAAGACCGACGTGCGCCCCAGCTGGGTAGTGGGGACGCGAGTGGAGGCGGGAGTGGACCGATCAAAGGTCGGGTGGTGGATGCATCCTGGCTGCACGTCCCTGCTAGCCCAGGCCGCCGTTGTGGTGTATCGTACGTTTTTTTTGCGATTTTTGTTTCCCATCGCCCCTGGCCATGGCACCCTTCAAGGATCATCGCGATCTCGGCTGTCCGGGGGGCGCACAGAACGAGGTCATTGGAGGGCTCCCGTACTTTCTTATCCTAGTCATGCCGGGTACGTACCGGTACTGCACGCCGCCGGTCCCCCACCGCCACACGAGACACAGTGCAAGTCGTGGGTCCTACACCCGCCGCGGCAAGGCAGGCGCCAGTGGCAGCCGGGCAGGGCCTCCACTACCTCGCACTCCTCTCGCTGCCATTTCGGACGGACAGCTGCTGCGGCGAGGGCAGGCACACCGTGCGGACTGGATTGCTGGCACGCACTGATTCTGGCGGCGCACAGGGGCCACGGGGAAGGGCCATGCCCCGAAAGGGAAGTGCCAGGCCAGGGCGGGCAGCGACAAACATCGAACCCACGCACGGCAGCGACGAAGCAAGAGCCCGGAATTGGGTCCAATGTGGAATGGATTTTTGCAACTTTCCGATGGCCTGCCCGCCAGGACCACCCAGGTAGCCACACCCTCGTAGCGTTTTCCGTGCGTGACGGCCAGGACCAGGCAGGCTATTCCTGGCCAGCCGGCGTCCACACTCCCACTTCCATCATCACCCTCCTCGCCGTTCTCGTCGACTCACTTAATCGTCCCCACGTCAAAGAACGGGGTGCTGTCGGCAACGTCCCTGCTTTGCCCGTCCCTGCGCGCAGCTCCCCCAAGAACCTGCGAGGCGTGTTCCCGCCTGCTCGGCACTGCTGTTCCGCCCTTCCCACTGCTTACTACGGAACTTAACTTGGTCTTCTGCCCAATCTTCCCTCCCCTCCAAGTCCACACCCTCTCCTGCCGTGTGTGCATCTCGGCCGTCCTGCTTGCTTCCCGCCAGCCAGCCAGCCAGCCAGCCAACCAGCTACCAGCCGACCCTGGGCGGCATACAAAGTAGCCTTCTCACCATCCTGCTGGTTGCCCTCTTTCCGCCTCCCAAGAAGGGCATCGACGGCCGGTCCCCTCGATCCCTCGTAGACTCTCTCGTACCTCCCGCGGACCAACTACGCCGCCGCCGCCAACCGAGCTCAAACGTCGAGGTTTTACTCTTACCCGCCTACTCTACCGGGTCACACATCCGCTCAAGTCCACAGAGCAGCCTTGTCCGCGTCTCTCCCGCCCGAGTTATATATGCACTCCTGGCTACTCGGTTCAGAAACCACCCCCTGAAATCAACAACACAAGCCGCTGTGCTCTCGTACGCCGTCACTTTCCAGGAGAAATCCAGAAGCACGGTTATTGCTAGAATCCTCAGTAGACATCTAGGCAGAAGGTGTCCGACAAAAGGTACGTTTGAACTGGACAGGCGGAGGCGGGCTCCTTTTCCCACCTCGGCGCGTGTCGCGTGTCGCCTTATTCCCCAGTCTTCCCGAATGCGCCCATTGAGGGGCATCAGCTCTGTGACAGGGCAGTCAGTCAAGCAGACGGACGGGCAGACAGGGCAGTGACATGGATGGCATCCCGAAAACCAGTTGGCAGCTGGTGCTCCTTCGGCCCGAAACGACGAAAAGACACATACATCAAGAGGAGGGATATTTGGGCGCATGCGGCGGACGAGCTGGAGAGCGACCACATTGTACTGGTACGAGCCGTCTATTGGGTTATGGGACTGCGCAATGCAGGACAAGCTGTCGTATTTCCCCATTCGGCCGCTTGGATCGGCCCAGCACGCTGCCTGGCCTATGCCGCTGCAGGCTTTCTGTTCGGTGGTGTGGGTTGGGGATGCCATCGAGATCTACCTGCCTGCCCGCCTGTCATCTTGCCTGACGCCTGGCACCGTGGTGGCAACCGGGAGTTGGGCCAAGGAGGATGTGCCCTTTGACAATGGAGCGCCCAATGTTGACATTAACCGTTCCCTTTGGCTCTAGCTAGAGGCATCGCTCGAGTCATAAAAGGCACTCTCACCACCTTGTCGTCGCCCGGTCTCTTCCAGGAGCCTCTTTGCCGCATTCTGCCCTCGGAGCCGAGCACCGACCGCGTGCTTTTCCCTTACAGCGTGTCTCGAGGGCCACCCCTCCCCCGAACCGAAACGAGCCGGTCGCCCTGGCGGTCCCTTGGTCTCATAGGCCACGACTGCCGTTTCCGCCTGGGACGTGTTGACCAGGGCCCTTGGAGGCCCCGCGACGCCATGTCGCAATCACTCGGGGAGATTTTTGGGGAGCTCGGTATCTCACAGTATCTCGATGCCTTTGTCGACCAGGGCTTCGACACATGGGATACCATTTTGGACATCACAGAGTCGGATCTGTAAGCTAGGCCCGCACCTGCCTGCCTAGGAAAAGGGCTGTCGGCTAACTGTCTACATCAGGGACACGCTCGGCGTGAAGCTGGGTCATCGCAGGGTAAGCCTCTCATGTCTGCCGCTGCGGGGATGGGATATTACATCTACTGGCTCCGCTGTGGGTGTGTTCCTGCCAGCTGACAAAGTTTGCACCTTTCTCTAGAAACTGCAGAGGCGAATCGCCAACTCACGAGGAGTCGCTCCGGAAGCGGCGCTGGCTTCTCCAACTGTATCTCCGACGCAACATAGTTTGGAAGAGCAACAACGACATGATGCACAGCGGGCTGAAACGCCTCGGGCAGATGCGACTGCCGGCGTCGCGACCAAGCGGAAGTACAGGCGGCATCCAAAGGCAGACGAGAATGCCCCTGAACGGCCTCCATCGGCATATGTCCTGTTTTCAAATAGTGAGTATCGACAGGCTGCTCTCCTCAACCACTCAATTGGTATACGTAATCGTCGCTTGCTGACTGGCGAAACTGATCAGAGATGAGGGACGATCTAAAGGATCAGCATTTGACCTTTACCGAGATCGCGAAGCTGGTGGGCGAGCACTGGCAAGCCCTAGCACCTTCAGAAAAGGAGCCCTACGAGACGCAGGCGCAAACGGCCAAAGACAAGTACAATCACGATCTGGCAGAGTACAAGAGGACTACACAGTACAAGGAGTATATCGCATACCTGCATGACTTCAAGCTGAAGCACGCCGCATCCTCGGGGGAAAAGGAGAACCTCAAGAGGGTCAAACTATCCGAGGGGAGCGCTTCCCCAAGCCACCCATCAGCTCCACGCAGGGCTCGAAGCCACACGACACCAGTTGGTGGCGGCAGCGCCGGCGCCGCCGGTGCCGCCAGTGAAGGTCGCAAGGGCAGCGAGCCTCCCCCGGGGTTGAGGGACCAGAGGGTAGGATCCGTCGCCAGTGTGCCCGAGTACAGCGCCTCGACAAACTACCCGATAGACCGGTCCTCGGTTGAGCGCTCGCCGTCTCGCAGCTCGAGCCCAAACGAGGGCTCCGTTCACCGCGCCCCCTACTCGAATCCCAGCGCGGCATCTATGCTTGACGGTCATGGACAGTACCAACACGCGCCTCAACAGCACCACAACCTCCCATCCTTGAGCAATATCCTGGAGAACCCGGGCCAGAACGAGGAGAGCCGAGGAGGTTTCAATCCCTTTCAGGGCGGTTCGCCAGCCCTCCATGAGCATCACGCGCCCGCGCTGAAGAAGGAGTTCTTCTCGGGTGCGAGTCCATCCTCCTCGACCGCCTCGGTCTGCCACCACCCCCGCACTTCGGTCGAGGGTTCCTTACCGATCCATCTACTTTTGGTGTCGGGCCAGGGAAAAGCAGGCGCCGTCTCTGCCCTCGAGCCGTCGGCGATTAGCAGACCTTCAGAACGCAGCAACCCACGCAAGCGCTCGGCCTCGCCAGAATCAAGGCCGTCATCGCTGCTCCACTACGCTCACCATCATCACATCGCCAGCGATTCCTTGATGAAGGCACAAGGTATAACAACACCGAAGCCGTGGCGTGCATAGGAATCGCACACGCACTGAGAGAGCAAGAGGAGGAGGGGGACAGACAGAACAGCAATGCTGACCAGACGCGTCACGCTTCCGCTATAGGCTTTTTCCCTGCACCCATCCCTGCATACCACTCGCCTGACGGCCACCACGTGCCCTCCAAACTACCCGGCTTCCCGAGCTTCGACGGTATGACGGCCTTGTTGAAGGCAGGCGAGCTCGTGAACCGTCAAACTCACTGAAGTCGTTTACTACACCCTGTCCACTTTTACATACCCATAAAGACATGTTGCGCGCCACGGTATCTCGGCTTCTGATTTGGGGCAATGCATTGCTTCTCTCATTTAAACACATTTTTGCGTGACGGAGTTTTGGGATGGAATTCACATGATACCTGGCATATATGCCGCCGAGAGACGGAGCATGAGGGCATTCAACGTTATCTTCTTCTCATCTTGCTATTCTATTTTCTCATTTCTCCATTTTGGATCCCCCAAACAGCCTTGTTTACGAGCCGGCCATCGGACCAGGTGTAGTGCTTGTTGTACCTCTTAACGACCCAATTTTACCCAAGAAGCAACTTTTACTTGACCCAGTGCTACAAGTTTTATCGTGCGTCGAAGGAGCTGGTGGGCGCTCAGAATCAAACCAACAAATGACTGGCATCATCAAGAACATGAAATCGACAAACAAAATGACTAGGATTAAGGCAAAAGCCTCATTTCTCATGACCGCCCAGCTGTCCCTTGTTGCCTAGATGGCCGGTCATGCTTTCCCATTTCGCTCCTGACGCCTGCTTGCTGCATCGGCTGTAGAACCCTTTGGTCTCGTCGTGACCCAAACCCCGCCTCTTCGCTCCCCTCTTACCACCAACATGGGGAGATACCTGGGGCAGCCCCGTCTTCAGAGGCGAGGCGTGGAGGAAGATGGGTAGTGATTACCAAGGGAGGTACAAGTCCAAGCCCATCCAGCTAGCCAATACCGTCCATCCTCGAAAACAAGGGGGATCAAAAACCAAGCCGGAAAAAAAAATAGGTGAACGCCAGGATGGAAATGCCCAACGAGATAGAGAAACAGGTAGGGGACAAGGCCAATACGAGTAGAGAAAAAAGAACAAGCAAAACTCCCCAATCTGGTGGTGGTCGTCAAAGCGTTTAAAAACGGCCATCTGTCATTCTCAACATGAGCTTTCCAGCAATCAGACAGGTCCTGCTCGGAGCAACAAAGCCAAGGTGGGAATACTGATAGGGATAATCGTAAAGAAAGAACAAGGAGACCCAAAAAAGAAAATAAAAATAAAAAAGAAAAAGAACAAGGCGCCAATGCGAGCTTGTGGTATAGTGAGGTGCATGATAGCCATCGTGTTTCGGATATTTCACAGCCCAAAAGGGTTAAAAAAAAACAAGGAGAAGGACAACCAAAGTAGGCGTGGTGGGCGAAACAATGAGAATGTCTTGTTGGGTGCGCTTCGAGCGACCGTCGTACGAGAGAGAGGGAGGCCGCGCGACTAGCTGCTGTGCGATCGAAGGAGCTGCAAACGAACACGGGGCATAAAAAGGTCCCCGAACGTCAGCTTTATTAGACGCAGCCGGGTTCGGAAAGAGCGCTACGTGCCCTTTGGATAGGATCGTCCTCGTCGGCCGTCAACAGCGCGGGGCTGTCGAGGCCGCCCGAGAGGGACTCTGCTGTCGTGACGGCCCGGTGGTGCAGCGTCGGCCGCATCGAGGCTACCCGCGACGGGTCTAGCGAGGGTCCGCCCTTGTGCTCAGCGTGCCTGACGAGCTCGAGCTCGCGGTCCCGGTTCTGCTCTAGCAGGGCGCCGCCGAGCGTCGCGCACTTGAGGATCGTCTGTATCAGGTGGTTCTGCTGCAGCGGCTTGGAGAGGTACTCGTCCATCTGCGCCTCGATGCACTTCTCACGGTCGCCCATCATGGCGTGCGCAGTCAGAGCGATGATGGGCGTCCTCTGGCTGCCCAAGCTTCGCTCGTACTCGCGGATCTTTGCCGTCGCCTCGAAGCCACCCTGCGTTCAGTCGTCGGGGTTAGTGTCATGAACGGCCATCACGCATCACGCAATGGCATAGGCGGCAGGTCTACCGTGCCGTTGCCGGCGTGAGCAAGGGGGTTGAGGTGGGGGGTTGGGGAATAAGAAATATACCATGACAGGCATTTGCACGTCCATCAGGATGACGTCAAACTTCTTTGCCTTTACCGCCTCGAGAGCTTCCTCTCCGTTGCTCACAACCGTCACGACGTGATGGTACTTCTCGAGGATCTTGACGGCCAGGCGCTGGTTGACCGTGTTGTCCTCGGCCAGCAGGATGTCAAAGGACTTTGTGTTGTCGGCCAGTGACGGGGTTGCGCGGTTTTCGAGCGCCGGCACCATGCCGTTGCCCAGGTCGATAAGCTGGCAGGGAGTGGTCATATACGACGTAATGCCCAGATCCAAGCACGACTTGAGGCTGACGTGAACAGACGGGGCGAGCAGGACGATGGGCAGATACTTGAAGTCGTCGATGCCGCGCAGACGGCGGGCAGTGTCGATCGAGTCGACCACTATGACGTCGTACGGCGACGTGCCCTTGTTGCACGCCTTGGTCAGGGTGTAGTGCTGCTCCGACTCGAGGACGATGGCCTGCAGGCCGAGAGCGCCCAGCATGGTGGCCACCTGGGAGCCGTGTGAGGTCTTGCCCTTGTCAATGAAGAGCACCTGGTGTCCCTTGTACGGCTTGAGCTGCTTCTCGATGAGGATGAGGTCGGAGCCGGCCAGGCGGACGCGGCAGGTGAAGTAGAAGGAGCTGCCCTTGCCGTACTTGCTCTTGACCCAAACATCGCCGCCCATCAGATTAACGAGGCGCTTCGAGATGGAGAGACCCAGGCCGGTGCCGCCAAACTTGCGCGTCATGGAGCCGTCGGCCTGCTGGAACGTGTCAAAGATGAGATCGAGCTTGTCCGCCGGGATGCCGATGCCCGTGTCGGTAACGACAAACTCGATGGCATACTCGCTCGAGCCGCACGGTATGCCGTTGCTGGCCTGGCTGATGGTCAGGCTGACCCCGCCGTGTTCGGTGAACTTTATGGCGTTGCCGACCAGGTTCAGGATGATTTGGCGCAGGCGGAACGAGTCTCCGATGACGTGGTCGGGCACCGAGGCGTCGACGTGGTACGTCAGGTCCAGGAACTTCTCGTTGGCCTTGACGGCCAGCGTCTTGAGCGCGTTGAAGACGGTACCCCGCAGCGTGTACGGTATCTCCTCGATCACCATGCGACGGGCCTCGATCTTGGACAGATCCAGGATGTCGTCGATGATGGTCAGCAGGCTGTTTGCAAGGCTGTTTACGATGTTCAACATTTCCCGCTGGTACTGAGTCAGATCCGTGTCGAGCGTCAGCTGTGTCATGCCGATGATGCCGTTCATGGGCGTCCGGATCTCGTGCGACATGTTGGCCAGGAACTCCGACTTGGTCTTGTTGGCCAGCTCGGCCGCCTCCCTGGCTTGTGTATTCCTCTGGATACTGTCGCGCAGGTTGTAGACCATCTGGTTGATCTTGCGCTTCAGCTCGTCCATCTCGCCCGAAGCCTCCACCTCAACAAGCTTGGTGAAGTCGCCATCCGTCGCCGCGTTGGTGATGTCGCCGAATGCTCTCACCTGAGCAGTCTTGAGTTGGCGTTCGCTCGGGTCAGCATCTTATCTCATGTGTAGGCAGGCAAAATGGGTAGCAGCCGCCCATGCGTGCAAATCAAGACTCACCAGGTTGTTCGCCATCGTGTTGACGTCGGTCGTGATCTCCTTCCACCTTCCCTTGAGTCCGGCAACGTCTGCTTGGCCTCCCATGATGCCGTCGACTCCCACGTCCTTGGCAACCCGCTGAACTTCGTTACAGAAAATGGATAGACGGTCCACCATGTTGTTGATGGTCTCTTTGAGGATGAGGATCTCGCCCTTGGCCTCGACATCGATCTTGCGGCTCATGTCTCCGTTCGCAATTGCCTGCGTGACCGTCGAGATTCCTCGGACCTGTCGGTTTGGATTTACGGAATTAGCCAGGCCCAGCCCGTTCGCCACACGTGGCCGCCATCTTTTAGATTTGAGCAGTGGTAGTGGCAGGGAAACATCAAACGTCTCGACATGACATCCGTCTTGACATCGGGCGACGCAATGTCTGTGCCTGTCCGATTGTTGAGATGGCACAAAGCCCATACTTTGAGCCCGGGCCCGTGGTCCCGGGTTCGTTGAATGCACGTACCTGTGATGTGAGATTTCCGGCCATGGTGTTGACGTTTTCGGTGAGGTCTTTCCATTTGCCCTCTACGTTTTCGACCTGAGCCTGGCCGCCCAGCGTCCCGTCCGTGCCGACTTCGCGAGCCACCTTGCTGACCTCGAAGGCAAAGGTGCCGAGGCGGTCCACCATGGTGTTGATGGTGTTTTTGAGGTCCAGGATCTCGCCCCTGACCTCTACCGTGATCTTCTTGGTGAGGTCTCCCTTGGCCACAGCGCTTGTGACGTTTGCGATCTCTCGCACCTGGGTCGTGAGGTTCATGGCCATGCCGTTGACGTTCTCCGTCAGGTCGCGCCATGTGCCCTGCACGTCGTGAACGGTGGCCTGGCCACCAAGGCGGCCCTCGGTGCCGACCTCCCTGGCGATCTTGGTGACCTCGCGCGCGAACTGCTGCAGCTGGTCCACCATGGAGTTGATCGTGTTCTTGAGCTCAAAGATCTCGCCGCGGCACTCGGCCTGAACCTTTTGCGTGAGGTCGCCCTTTGCCACGGCGGTGGTGACCTTGATGATGTCCCGCACCTGAGTGGTCAGATTATTTGCCATGGCGTTGACGTTGACTGTCAGCTCGTTCCACATGCCCTTGACGCCTTCGACGTCGGCCTGGCCCCCAAGCATGCCCTCGGTACCCACGTCCCTAGCGACTCGGGTAACCTCGGATGCGAACGTGCGCAGCTGGTCCACCATGGTGTTGATGGTTTGCTGTAGCTGTAGGATCTCTCCCTTTGCCGGTCTCTCGATCTTTTGTGTCAGGTCGCCGTGGGCAACTGCAGTTGTGACCGAGGCGATTTCGCGCACTATTTGCCGGCTTTGTTAGATATCATATTTTTTACGCTGACTTCCAAGCTCGAGTGGGGGAGGCCGGTGCTCTGGGATGTGGTTTGCGCGTACCTTGGTCCGTCAGGTTTTGGGCCATTATGTTCACTGCGATTCGAGATGATGTTAGCATGCAAATCTCTTAGTGACGGCGCCCGGTGCCGTGACTGCGGGGTTCGTGCTCACCGTTGTCTGTCAACTCCTTCCATGTTCCGTCGACGCCCTCGATCTGGGCCTGTGCGCCCAAGATGCCTTCGGTGCCGACCTCGCGAGCAACCCGCGAGACTTCACTAGAGAAAACCTGGAGTTGATCCATCATGGTGTTGAGGGTTCGTTTAAAGGTGGTGATTTCCGGGTCCATCTCGACCGAGTTAAGGCGCACTTTCTTGGACAGGTCACCGAGAGAAACAGCCGTAAGAATCTCCCCGATTTCCCTGAGCGCCTTCTGGAAAGCCTCGTTCGCCTTCTGGTGCTTCCAAAGCTCCCTCTCCAGCGTGGCCACGCGCTCCTGCTCGATCATGGCCAGGGCCTTCTCCTGCAGATGCTTCTGCTCGATCAGCTGGGCGTTGACGCCGGCGAGCTCAGCGCGCTGGCTGTCGAGGAGCTTCGACTGGTCATCCACATGTTCGCGCAGACCCTCGAGGTCCTCGTCGGAGATGGCGTTGACTTTGGGGGTGCGCGGGTCCGGGCAGCCGTTCTTCAGAGGGGCGCCGCCCTGCCTCGACTGGACCGAGCTGCGACTGGAGACCACGGAGCTGGGGGAGGAGGTCCCATCGTCGCCGAAGAGAGAGTGCACCGTCTCGTTAGGGGTATCGGGGAGGTTCGTGGCGGCGACGGAATTGGCCCTCGTCTCGAGCTGCTGGATGCGGGAGACCAGGGCGGAGAGCTCGCGCTCTAGAGCCTGCTTCTCGGGCGAATGCAGGCCGGGGAGCTTGACGAGCGGCGACGGCCTGTCGGGGCCGTTGGAGTTGGTGGCAAGCCGCTCCACAAAGGCCGCGACGGCGGCCAGCGTTGAGGCGTCCTCGACCATGGTGCGCACGGGCGTTGGTCGCACCAGCGGGCGGGCTCGAGGGGCAAGGTAAAAAAAAAGAGAAAAAGAAAAAAAGATACAGAAAAGCCCAGAGCAGCAAAACGGCAGGTGGTGGGGGGGAAATAACCTAGGGTATTGGGACAAAGAAGGGGATCGGGAACAGAAAGAATGCAGCTGGCTGGGAAAGAAGCCCCAGTCAGTGTTGCGACGGCAGCCCAAGGAACAGCGACGGCGGCCTCATGGATGGACGGTAGGCAGGTCGGGTCGAGGGGAGGAAGGGAGGAGGGGCTGAGTACCTAGGATAGGTAGAGAGGTAGGTGGTAGAGAGGTAGGTAGGTAGTAGGTAAGCGGTAGGGTGGTCGGAGGCAGTTGGGGGAGGTAAGGTAGGCCAAGTAGGTAGGTAGGTCGGGTAGGTAGTGGGCAATATTGAGAATTAGAAGAAAGAGGGCTGGTTGGCAGGAAAAAGGGAGATGCGCCAGGCGGTGCGGGCGTCTAAGTCGCGGCGGATTCCAGGGCCAGAAAGTCGCCGCTCTTTCGCTACGGTTGGTCGTTCAGCGGGCAGAAAAAAGTGCGCGCATTCGGGGGCCAGGCTGTGGCCCGATATTGCAGGTCTTCGAAAGAGCAATCGAGGCGGGAGGGACAGGACCAGGCGGCACGAGGCGTGTGTAAGTTGTATCACTCCAGAGTCGAGACCCAGGACAGCCCCCCCACGGTGGAGCAATGCACGGGCAGGTCGCCTTCAATCTCTGAGCAGCAGCAGAGGCAAAAGTGGAGAGAGGACGCCGATTGCAGACGGGTTCGAGCGAGGGATCGATGGGCCGGCGGGGACAGCGAAGGGAGGAGGCAGGCGAGGCGACAGGGGTTATCAACCACAGGCACAGGCGCTAGGCGACAACGAGACGTCGGATCTGCCCTCAACCATTGGCCGCCGATGGTGGAGGGGAAAGGCAGGGCGTGCGAGCTTTGCCGTAGGCTGGATTTGGCGGTGCGCGAGGGAGGCACGGAGGACATGCAGGTTGGCAGAGGGGTAGTAGGTGAGCACCTGGGAAAAGCAGCCAACTGGTGTGCCAACGTCTGGAACCGATGGGACCGTGGGCTTGCAAGACACAGCCCGGCGATCGGTGCTTTGTTGGTCGAGATATGCCCGGTTATGCGATTTACGACGGCGCCAAATGCGGTGTTGGTACGTGACAGCAAGAGAAAGCCCCGGGATTACGGTTTGGGTACCAGTTTCAACCACGCTGAATCCAGCAAAACGGTGCCAGAAATCGGTGCCCCTCCGGCCGGTTGAGGGCCAGTCAGGATATTCACAGTGAGCGCATCCCAATCGAAGGTGCCTTTATTTACACACATTGGCCATTTCATTTGAAGCTTCACTCGACACCGCCAAACCGTCTTCAATGACTAGACCCCTGGCGGGAATCGAGGCAGCGATAGCCGTTTCTGCTGATCCCGACGGCGCCAAGCTGCGAGCACCCGTACTCCGTGGGTATGCCAACGTTGCACAGTGACTGGTGGACTGTGTATTTTTTATTTTATTTTTCTCTTTTTCTCTTTCTTAGGGGAAATGGAGATACACCACTCCATCATCCTAATCTGCGAGCGCACGCACGCACCGATGGATGTTTGCCCAACGCCACCAGGCCGTGCCCTGCCCGCGAGCACCCGTTTTTCGTCTTCACTTGTCTTGGTCCAAGGCTGCAAGGTCTCGCCGAACTTACCCCAGCCCCGGTGACGCTCCGTCACGAACTCTAGGTGGTCTGGTCCGCAGGCAACTTTTGGCACTACACGGTAGCCTGCAGGCACGAAAAAGACGGAGCGCACAGCGCGGGCGGCAGGCCACCGAGACGGTGCCGGCCAGGGCAGCCAGGCACTGGGTCAGCGCGGGACTTTGACACTGGGCCTGATTCGTGGCCGCCTATGCGAGCCGCCATGGAGCCGAGCCAAGGCCGTGTGGCAGCTCCGCCCTGCATCCCTGCGCACCCGCCGCCCTTGGTTCCAAGGCTCTTTTTTTTTTTTTTCTCGTGGCCCAAAGCGAAGAAGATCGCTCGGCTAGCTCGACGCCCATCACCATGGTTGCGCCCCGTGGTTAGCTGCGTCCGGGGTTGGGCAAATCCGTCACCGGACAGTGCGCCACTACCAAGTGCTCCCCTCCGACAAGTTGTTGACTCGGACGGAAAAGCTTCTCTTCTTCTTTTCAGGGTCCATGGCGGGCAGGACGCCAGGCGGGCAGCCATGCCGTAGCCGCCGCCGTGTTTATGCATCTTGCATCCCTCGCGTGTCTCGCTAGAGATGCAAAAATGCCAATCCCCACAGTCCGCCCCGATCTCTCTCGTGCTGCGTTCCGTTAGAACACGAAAGCCTCGCACACGCCTGCCTACCTCTCCGCTTATGAGCAGCTGTGGAACTGCTATGTGCCAGGGTGCGTTGTGCAGCGCGTTTTGCGGGCCTCGTCCCACCCAAACGGATCGCTGTCCCGTCTGTGATTCCCGCGCTTGAGGTGGGATGAGTGAATAACCTCTGGCAGGCTACGGGC